GAGGAGGAGGAAGAGGAAGAGAACGAGGAAGAGGAGGAAGAGGAGGAGGAAGAGAAGGAAGAAGAGGAGGAGGAAGAGGAGGAAGAGGACGAGGAAGAGGAGGAGGAGGAAGAGGAAGAGAACGAGGAAGAGGAGGAAGAGGAGGAGGAAGAGAAGGAAGAGGAGGAGGAGGAAGAGGAGGAAGAGGAGGAAGAGGAGGAGGAGGAGGAGGAAGAGGAGGAGGAGGAAGAGGAAGAGGAGGAGGAGGAGGAAGAGGAGGGGGAGGAAGAAGAGGAGAGGAGGAAGAGGAAGAGGAGGAGGAGGAAGAGGAGGGGGAGGACAAGGAGCAGGAGAGGCTGTTGAAGTTGTCAGGTTCAGGACGCGCCTTCTCTGGGGGATTTGGAGACAGCCAGGCCCAGGACACCCTGATCTACTTCCGCCTCTGTGCCCTTGGGTGTCACCACCTAGCAGGGCACCCTTGGAGCATCTGCCCTCCACCACACCCTGCCAGAAACTGCCCACCCAGCTTTGCAAAGAAGCACATGACCACAGACACGTCATTCTGTTGCCTCAGTTTTAAATATTTATTTAAAATCCGGAAAGGAAAAGGAGAGGCGGAACGCACTGGGGCTTCCACACACCGACATCGGGACAGACAAACACGAGGACAGCAGATAAACCCGAGATGGGACAGGGGCCCGGTGGAGTCTGGTACCATGGGGACACAGCGCTGAGATGAGCCCCAGCGGGGAGCGCCCAGGCTGGGACAGTGGAGGGGGGCAGTGGGGGCCGAGTGAGGTATTAAATATTGCAGACCAAACCCAATTCCCCAAGAGACACCATTAGAAATACTCAGAGACTTCCATATAATTTTCCTCCTTCCATAAAAATAATTTCATAGTTCAAATAACTTCAAAATCCAACCCAGGCCCTGATAGGGTACAATCCAGATCACTGTGAATGCCACCGCACGCAGGTGGCCAAGAATAATTCTTTTCTCCCCAGCCCCAATTGACACCCACGTTGACAGCGGGTTTCTGCAGAGTTTAACAACACTGAGAAAGCAGGAGGGACAGCTGCCCAGGGGGACCGGCTCCTGGGAGGGAGAGCTGAGCTTCGTTCCCGGTTTCATGAGATGGTTCAATATTTACATTCCGAGGCTAGCCCCAGCCAACATTGCCCTTGGCACTGGTTTCTCCAAGGTCAAGGCTGCTCCCAGGCCTCTCCAGGGCAACAACCTCCCTCCAGGACCCCGAAGGCCACACCAAGACGCTTTGTACAAGGACAGACATTTCCAAGTCCATAAGTTAAAGGGAAAGCCCTCTTCTTCCGGTTTCTGGTAGGGTTTTTGTTGTTGTTTCATTTTTTCTTCTCTTTTTTTCTTTTTTCTTTCTTTTTTTTCCTCCTTAGCAGATTACCGGACAAGCATAAAGACAACACTAGGAAGACAGAACGATTCCTCCAAACTTTGTCATTTGGAGGACAGAGAACCATGTGAACTGTGTCCCACATCAAAAAAGTTTCTTCGAAGTCTGTGGCAAAAATAGTAGCACCTTCAGAATCTTAAATAGGTTTTTTTTTTTCCTTAAAAAAAAAAATCACTTACACTGCGAGACGATTGCGAGCACCGGCGATTTCACAGTGGAGGTAGCAAAAGTGGGGACCCCCCGCCCCAGGATCTCGCCTTCCCCACCCCGCTGCTCTTCCTCACCCTCTCACCTCTTTCCCAGGTGAAAAAATAGTAACACACCTTCTTTGGGTTTGTTTAAATAATAATAATATATATATTCTTCTCTCTTTCCTTCTCTCCTTTTTCATGTCTCCTTTCTAATATTGCACATCAAAAGCTCCCTGGCAGGGCCGGCTGACGAGGTACCCCTTCCCCCCAGCTGGCTTGGACGTGGGGCTCTCTGGGCAGGAGGCCGGGGAGGGAAGCCGGCAGCCGCCGGGCTGGGGTCGGCCGGGGGCCGAGGCGGGGTGCGGGCCGGCAGACTCGCTGGCTCTTTGGTTGGTCTTTGGGGGTGAGCTGCGATGGGCTCTTCCCAAGGACACTCTGTGCCCTGCTACCCCCCTTCCCCTGCTGCTGAGCAGACAAGATCTAGGGACCCCTCCAGCAGAGCAGGGGGCTGCCTCTCCTGGGGCCACCGCCCTCAGTACCCGGCCTGGCCTCCTCCTCCTTCCTCTGCCACAAGGCCACAGGCACCAGGAGGCCAGGGTCAGAGGAAGCACGCAGGGCCAACTTCCAGGCGGTACTGCTTCCCTGGTGAGGCAGGGGGGAGGTTGTCCACGCTGACAATGGGCAGCTGCTGGGGGTCCTGCGTCCGGAAGGTGAAGAGCGTCTGGTGCCAGTGGCCGTCCAGGACCTGTGGGTGGAGGAAGAGGTACAGGTACCAGGTGCCCCTGAGCCTCCCATCACGCTCAGGGCCTCTGCCATGGCCCTCCTCCTACTCCGCAAGGCTCCACGCCACTCACCACAGCAATGACCTGTACTGGCACATCTACTTTGCTCCCGTATTTCTACTCTCCCGAGTGATGCTTAATGAACAGTAACCAAACCTTTGTGCACATTCTACAGAAAGTTCTAGAGGTAAAATTGCTGGACCAAAGAATAGGTCCACATGTGAAGTTTGAGACATGTATTGGATGTACATCTATACACAGAAGCTTTCCAGAAAGCTCTACCCATTTCTTTTCTCCAATCGTTTCATACAGGAACGTTGGTCTCCTCACATCCTCACGATCACTGTGCATTATGGTTTTGGTTCAATCGTGTAAAACTGGTTTTTACCTTTTGATGATTTTATCTCCCCTCCCCCTGCAAATCCAGCTGGTTTGGAGCATTTAGAAATGACAGACTATCTGGAGAAGAAATGAGCCTGGCAAGGTGGGACCAAAGAAATATGTCCTCTGTCGAGAATTTGCAAAGAAGACGGCTTAGAGAGTTAAACTGGTGCAGAATTAAGCCCATCAGGAGATGGGATCACACATGCAGAACGCTGGCTTTCTTTATCCCACACTCATGGACACACTGTCCCAAGTTACCTGCTAAAAAACTTAGTTCTAATATCTATCTCGATTTTTGTGCTTAGTATCAGAATTTATTGCTTTTATCTATTTTATTTTTTTTTTTTTTTTTACAGAAATGGTATTGTCTTAACACAATTTATCAGAAAGACCAACCTTTCCCCGTTCACTATTCTGCAAGGCCAACTTTGTCATAAATCATGTCCACACACAAACCCAAAACAGAATTTGGATGTACTGATCAGTGGGGGGAACCCACAAAGACGCCTTAGAGGTGAGTACCTTCTCTATTAGTCTGCATAATTTTTCCCAGCCCAGACCTCCCCTTAGGAAGTTCCTGGAGGAATAAAAGTGAATAAAAACAACTTCTGAAATTGTTCTAATAAAAATATTACATAGAAATAAAAGTGACATACGTCCATACCCGTCGCACGCTGGCACAGTATAGGACTGTTAGACATACAAACAAGTTTTTTCACGCAAGTTTCCCCGTCTTCCATGGGCTCTGCTAATTACCTTACAGCCGTCCATGGACACCTCTGGCCTGAACTGACCCCCAGCTTCAAAGATCTGCCCGTTCCAGGCCCGGAAGCGCACAGCCTGCTTGGCCGGGGTGCGGCCCGTGGTCTCCTGCCACACGGTCATGTTCAGGCAGTGGATGGTGATGTGCTGCGTCACCTCGGAGCTGAGCAGGTGCAGGAAGTTCATCTGGACCCGGCTGACGGCAAACTCCACCTGGGGGGAGACGGGGAGACAGACGGTGAGGGGTGGGGTGCAGTGCCTGCAGCTCTCAGGGCTCCTGCCTCTCTCTGGAGGGGCCTGGATAAGCCCTTTCCTGGTCAGTTTTTCCCAACCCTCACGTAAGCCCACTTGAAAGACTGGGAAACTGAGGTCCACGTGAGCTGGTCCCCCAGCCCCTCAGCTGCATAATGAGAAAGGTCTGCCGACCCCACAGCAGAAGGATCTCGCCCAAGACGGAGACCCGTGGAGGGCGGAGGAAACGGGAGGCACTTTCTAAGCCTAAGTCCCAAGAGGCTGGGGGGTGGGGGTGCTGGCAAAGGCAGAGCCGAGAGCAATCAGCAAGACTAGGTGCCACTGAAATCCAGGGCCCTTCCCTGAACTAAGGTGTAGGTAAGTGTCCCAGAGGCCTTTGTGTTGAAGGGACCTTGAGAAGTGGAGCCTGGCAGAAGGGAGACAGGTCACTGGGGCTGCCCTTGAAGGGGCTACTGGTTTTTTTTGCTGCTTCCTGGCTGTTTCCCTGCTCCCACCATGATGCCCTGCCTCACCACAGGCCTCCAAGCAACGGGGCCAACCAACCACGGACTGGAACTCAGGGCTGTGAGCCAACATAAACCTTCCTCCTTATAAGTTGCCTATCTCAGGTATTTTGTTACAGTAACACAAAGCTGATTAACACGCCTGCTATTGTTTCTGATGAGAATCGCAACACAAATAGGCAGTCACCTCGCCACCTCCAGCCTTGCCCATATGCACGGCAGGTTTGCCATTCAGCCCCTAGACCTCCGAGCCACAGGAGAGGGAGACTGCAGTGGTCTCTATGGCCCTATTGACCTGTGAGTTCTGGCTACAGGGGCAGCAGCAAGTTTGGCTTCCTCACGCCCAGCTCAGGGGCTGGTACCTGTCGGAGACTTAACAATGACTTGTTGACCCACTGGCTGACAGACTGCCTCCCTAGAGATTCTCAAACTCCAGGAGTGGCATGGTCAGCACACACCTTCTAGAACCTCCCAGAGGGTGGAGGTGGGGCTGGTAGGATGGGATACAAAGGGCTCTGGGTCCCCAGCCCCTGCAGTTAGAGCAGCTTCTCACTGTGGCATGAATCACTCCCTAAAATGCTCCTCCCAGAGAGGCAGGTGGCCAGCGGGCATCGAGCAGGGGTTCAGGATCGCATGTGTCTGGGAGGAATGTTCGAGAGGAGCATTGCACAGATTTGCTTCATGCCGATTGCTCGTGGTTCTGTGAGCCAGGCCCCATGTGGCTGGCTGACTGCTCTGCTTTAGTACGAGGCAGAAGGGGGGACATTGGAACCACTCCAGACTCGCACAGGTAGAGTCCCCAATGCACAGAGGAGCAAGCTGAGTCTCGGAAAGAGGAGGTCTTTCCCAGGACCGTGCAGTAAGACAGGCAGGGCTCAGAACAGAGCCTGGGTTGGCTGTGGCCCAGGGCAGACAGGGCCAGCGTAGGGAGAAGGTGGGCACCTTGGAGGCCGTGATGGGCTTCAGACACGTCTGTCCGCCGTGGGTGAAGTTGCAGGAGACTTCAATGGTGTCCGAGGAGCAGCCGAGGTTCGGATCCACCCAGTAGGTGCCTGCAGACAGCACAGGGGGGTGATGCACGGATCTGGGGAGGGGCGCAGGTCAGGTTCCGCAGATGACTCTGCACCTGTGACCCACTGAGCCCCACTTGGGCATGAAGTCGGGGTGAGCTGGGCAGAAAAGGGATTCCCGGGCAACAGAGGGGAAGGGAGCCTTCTAGGCAGAGGTCATAGCTGGAGGAGCCCAGGGCAGAAGGTTCCCTGAGGAGCTCGTCCTATGTCCCCCCCGGGGGGTGTCCATCTTCCAGAGGAGACAACAGGTGAGAGGTGAAGCCAAGGCCCCAGGGAGTGGGGGGTCATCTGCTGACTGCTTCCTCCAGGTCCCACGGCTCCTCTGGGCCCTGCCAGAGGGGCTCAGCCTTCCCAGGCAGCCAAACCAAGAGTGGGACCCAGGCCACCAGTCCCAGCTTCACGAGCCGAGAGGGGAGGTGACTCAGGCGGTGCTGTGACAGGCCCCAGATCACAGATGGGAGAGTTGAGGGAGGTGGAGACCCAAAGGGAAACCCCGGCTCACCCGGGAAGCCTTCCTGGGGCTAAGCTCTCCTGGCCCTTGGGGACTTTTTCTGCCAAAACTCTATCTCATTGCACTGAAATGGTCGTCCCCAGCCTGTGGATCTGTGGCTCTGGAACAGTGGGACCACTCCTCTGTGTACCCCACAAAATCCTACAGACCAGGAAGTACAGCCTGGCACATGGGAGCTCAGTGACTCAGTCAGTGGCTGTCTGTCTGTCTCCCTAAGGACAGAAACTTGGCCCAGAGGTGCTGAGAACCAAGTACCTCCTCTGCCCGGCTCCTCCTGGAGCTGCCCCCCCCAGCGCCACCAGCCTGGGCAGGAAGCGCCTGCTCCCCTGCAGTCGCTCTCACCGTCCGCCATCTTCTGCTCACAGTCCATGAGGTCCCGGCAGACCCGGGCGGGGTTCTCCTTGGTGCCCAGGGGTGTCTTAATGCTCTGGATGAGGTTGCTGAGGTAGTGTAAGGTTTTGAAGATCTCCCCTCCCTGGTCCAGCACCAGCCGGTCTGGATAGCTGTACCCCTGTCATAGGAGAGGCATGGCCATTGGTCCCTCAAGTCCTGGCTGGCCTGAGGTCCTCGCTGCCTGGGAGGGTGCTCAGCTCCCAGGCTGGTGGCCAGGCCAGGCTGCGTCTCTCTCCACTTCACAGATAAAGAAACTGGGGCCAGGGACAAGAGGCAGTGGGTGGGGCTGCCGCCTCGGCTCAGGTTTGAGGAAGCACAGGTGAGGCCCTGTTCTCTGGCACAGGAAGGGCAGAGCCCCAGGAGGAAGGCAGATGGGATGCACAGGACACCACGGCGTGGCCTGCAAGGGAGAGTCCCTGGAGGAGGAAGTGCTGCCTTGGGGGCTCCCGTGCCCTGCTGGGCTCACCTGGGTGGGAGCAGGAGCTCCTGTGAGGCACCAAGTCACACACTGGGACCAACAGACAAAAGTGCCTGGGGGAGGACTGCGGCTCAGAGATGGGGGAGGAGGGGGATGGCCGCAGAGTGCGGGGAGCAGGGCCTTTGGGTGACCCTGAGCAGCCCCAACTCCTCCTGCAGGACCTCCAGCCCCTTTCCAAAGCCACAGATCAGAGCTCAATAAGCCCTCCCCCCAGACCTGGCAGAGGCCACGTGTATGTCTGTGTGCATGCACGTGGGTGTGCATGTGTGTGCGTGAAGGTGTGTGGATGTGAAGGTGTGTGCATGTGTGCACGCAGGAGCATGTGTATGTCTGTGTGCATGCACATGGGTATGCACGTATGTGCGTGCAGGTGTGTGGGTGTGAAGGTGTACACATGTGTGCATGCAGGTGTGTGGTGTGTAGGTATGAACAAATGTTGGTGTGCACATGTGTGCATGCATATGGACGTGCATATATGTACATGCATTTGGGTGTGTAGGTGTGCACATGTGTGCATGCAGGTGTGTTGGTGTGTGGGTATGTGCATTCAGGTGTGTGGGCGTACAAGTGTGCACATGTGCGTGAACGTGGGCGTGCGGGTGTGCACATGCATGGTGTGAGTCTTCTGCGTGGACAGAGCCCACCCCCAGCCCCCTCTGCAGTAGGTGGGGGCAGGAGGCCATGCTCCAACCAAAGCAATGACAAGAACACAATGTGCCCCTTGCAAAATTCTGACCCCTGGTCTCCGGCACTGTTCTCCTGCTCTGTCCCCTGGCGAGGCGTCCCCCTGCCATGGGGTAACCTTAGGGATGGTGCGTGGGAAAGGAAGAGGGCACAGCCCCAGCAGGCAACCTAGGTCTGTCGTTACCAAGCCAGCTGGCCTTAGTGCACATGAGGAATAAACGTCCACGTATCTGCGGACACTCATCTCCTGCCGTGTGCGAGGCGCTGTGGGGAAGGCGCGGCGTGCAGGGCTATTGTTAAGGATGGCCACAGGCCAGCTGCCTCCCTGGGTGTGGAGCAAATGACCTCCTGGGTGGAAGGAAACTCTCCCCTTCTCTGCCCACGGATATCTGTTTCCACTGACCTCCCTGGGTGGACGGCAGGGGCCCATCCCTGCTTCTGTCCCTGTGGACTGCGAGCCCAGCAGTTACATAGGAACAAAGAAGCTGGCTGTGGGTGGAGGTGAAGCTGGAGCTGAGAGCTCCCCATCCCGGGGCGGGGAGCCAGGTCCCGGCCGAGCCCTGACCATGGCTGACTGTGAGCTTTCTGCTGCTGGAGGACGGCTGGCCAGGCCACAGGGCGCCCAGGGGAGCGTCTCTCCCTGACTCAGGGCAGCAAGCGTCTCCGGACCCCAGAGGCCCTGGAGAAAGCACAGGCCAGAGCGGCTTCTGTGTGCCGGCCGTGTGACCTCGGACCTGCTGCTATCCTTCTGAACCCCGGGAAGAGCCTCATCTGGGATTGTGAGGTGTCATAGACACGGCTCTGACACACTGGTGCAGGCCAGGTGGAGGGCACAGATCACACGAGGGCCGTCAGCCACACTTCTCCCAGGACTGGACACCATGTGGGCAGAGCTCCTGGAGGTACCTCTGGTCGGAGTGCTCCGTTAGTGTCCATCCACGTCTGGAAAGCTGCCCCAAGGTCATCTTGTTGCTGTGCAGGGAAAGACAAGGGGTATATCCTGGTCCCCCAGGCCCAGAAAGTGGGAACCCCAGGGCCCGAGCACCCACTCTCCCACCCCACTTGGTCTGGCAGGATCTTGGTTAATCATACACTCTGCAAACTCCTTCCTCCCATGGAGACAGAGTCAGTGACTGTAGGCACTGACTTTAGGCACTTCAGTGGCTCCCCCTGGCCCTTGGGATTAAGTTAGAACTCCTCCCGTGGTTACAAGACCCAGCTTGAGTGCTGTGCTCCTGAGCCCTGTTTCTCTCCTCTCCCCGGCACATGCTAGCACTGGGCACACTCAGAACTTCTAAGTTCCTAGGTGCCGTGCTGTCTAACCACAGGGCCTTTGAAAGTGTTGCTCCCTTTCCCTGGAAAATTCTTCCCTTCCTCAAATGCACTGTTAGGCTATCTCCTATTCCACTGCTTCTCAACTGGGGTGATGATGCTCCCCTGGGGCATTCGTAATACCTGGGGACATTTTAGACAGGTACAACTAGGGAAGGGGCACTACTTGATCTTCTGGTCAAAGATCAGGAAAGCTGCTCAGCCTCCCACAGGCACAGGATGCCAAGGTCAGCAGTACAAAACTTGGCAGTGGTGGGAGGCCTCTCTGATCCTCCTGGTTCCAGGCCGCTGGGGCCCCTTTCTCTACGCCCCACAGTTCCATGTCTGGGGGGCACTGTACCAGTCTCATGAGCCTCCAGCCCTGCCCCGGGCTGGCAGAGGCAAAGTCTTGCCAGAAGAACAAGGGAGAAGAGATCTGGGCACCGAGTAAAGCCGAGGACCTGGAGGGATACCTCAGGGTCCAACCCAGCCCTGCCACTTCCCATCCACGCCCTGGGTCTCAGTCCTCCCATCTTGAAAATGGGCCTGACACAAAACTCCCCTCAATGAACTGAGGAGCTAACTCATGAGTCCACCCGTGGAAAGCTCTTCTCCCGGTGTCTGGGGTGTAACCAGCAGGCAGTTGATCTAGCTGTCACTCAGAAATTCAAAATCCTCTCCTTTTCTGTATTTTAGGAGAAAAGGCTTTTCTCCTGGTTCCCTTCCCTCCCCACTGTCTCTTATGGATGAGAAGGACGCGGGGATGTGGAGGGACAGTCAGGGTGGCCATTACTGCTTCTGTGACAGTGGACAGAGGGACCTTGAGAAACTGGGAGGAGCTGAGAGGCTGAGGACTCCTGGCCCAGGTGCCATCTCAGCTCGGTCTTCCTGGGGCCCTGCCCGGGAGGGACACTCTCAGGGCTGGATCCAGAGGTCAACCAGGACAGTGGAAAAATGGGGACAGATTTGTCCCCGGTGGGGCAAGGCCACACTGTCAAACAGGGGTGTGGTCCCCATCTGTCCACTTTTCTGACCCTCTTTGGACAGAATCTGAGGCAGGGGATCCTCAGCAACCAGCCCACATGTCGGGGCACAGACAGGACCAGGGGCCAGCAGCTGGGCAGGACCCTGGACTCATGGTCCCCAGATGCGAGTCCAGCAAGAGGAACACTCAGCTTTCCTGCCTTGTGGCCCCAGGCCCCTCCTGTGGCCTAGGGTTCAGGGCTTCCGCCAAGGAACGAGAGGACGGGGGCATCCCTGGGCCCGGCTTAGGGTTCTGGCCACTGTGGCCAGACAAGGCTGTTAGCTCTCCCCTTCACCTCCCAGGCCTCTCCCCAAGTGACCAAAGAGAACATTCTCCAACTTACAAGCTGGACTGGACGCCCTGGAGGTCCCTGCAAAAGAAGATGGTGGGTCAGCACTGGATGGGCCCGGTGCTGAAGCCCCGGCTGCCAGGAGAGTGGTGGGCCGTGGGGCAGGTGAAGACCGCCAAGCCAGTGTCTGTGCTGCCGCAGGCCGGGATGACCGTCCCCGCCCCCAGGCTGGTCTACGCTCTCCCAGAGTCTGTGACTGCAAGAAGCATGTGAGTCCTGCGAGACTCGGGGTCAAGGACAGTCTGCTGGCAAAGCCTTGATCTCCTCCATAGGGACCCCGCCTCTGCCCAGATGTCCAGGGTGCCCCATGCTAAGACACCAAGCTACCTACCGGTGGGCCAGGCCGCCCTCTTGGGCCGGGAGGACCCTGGAGGAAGAGAACAGTTAGCCTTGGTCAGCAAGGGCCCTCCGTCTCCCACCCCAGGTCCTCATCAGGCAGACAGGAGGCCCAGGACCGTGGTTCCCTGGTGTGGACAGGTGCAGATGAGGTCCAGAGAGAAAGGGCCCACAGGACAGTGGTCACGGACAGGAGACCCAGAGCCCCCGCCCACTCCCCTGCCCTTCGCCCTCACGCCAAGCACACTCACCCTGGGACCCTGCAATCCCTGGAGGGAGACACAAGAGGGACAGAGTCAGACGCAGGCCGAGCTGGGGCCCACCCTGAGTCCCCTCGTCCTCCACTCACCCAGTCCCCTCGACTGCCTTTGTCGCCCTTTGGACCCTGCAACAAACCAGAGCCCAGTGAGACAGGGTCAGAGGGGAATCCAGTTCCCGGAAGGGGAAACCGAGGCCCAGCCCCTGCACCTACCGGGAGTCCCGACGGTCCCAGGATTCCAAGGGGCCCAATGATGCCCTCCTTTCCCTAAAGGAGACAGACAGGCTGAGTGGGCTTGTTCCAGGCCTGGGGAACGGTCCCAGGGACAGAGGCTGGGGGGCTGCCTGCGTGTCCCCAGGGATGGGTGGGACACCTCCTGGCCACACACTCCCCGGCTCCTCCCACATGCAGCCCCTTCTGTGTGCCCGGGGGCTACCAGAGTGGAGCAGGAGGAGAGGGGGAGGAAGGGCTGCAGCCCAGCTGGTGGAAAGAAGCAGGAAAAGGAGGATGTGAGTCCCAGGTGTGGCCAGTTAAGGGCTGGAACAGAGGAGGGGACTCACCATCAAGCCAGGAGGCCCCCGGGGGCCCTGGATGCCTTTGAAGCCGATGTCCCCAGGGGGGCCCTGCGGAGAGCAGAGGAAGGGCAGTCTGTGCCTGGGCAGCCCAGGGGGTCCCCCGAACTCCCCCATGGTGTCTGGGCCCCAGGAGGTGGTAGGAGCCCACCCACGGGTATCGCGCAGGCGCAGGCCGTGGCACTGTTGGTTGGTGGCCTGTGCCTCTGGCAGAATTCTGCATCCATCCTCCACTTACTGTCCCCACTTGACAGATGAGGAAAGCGAGGCTCAGCGGGACTAAGCCGCGTGCCTGAGGCACAGGTGAGCCGCGGAGCTGGGCCAGGAACCCAGGCGTGCCATCATGGCAGTGAGCGTGAGGACGTGCTGGCTGCTGGCTGTGTCCCCAGCTGTCGTGGTACCCACACTGTGAGTGCTCGGCCAATATTGGTGGAATGAACAAGTGAATGAACGAGTGGGCGAGGGTAGAGGACCCCCCAGGAGCCGGGAGGAGCGGTGGTCCGTACCTTGGGTCCAAAGAGGCCAGACACTCCTGGGAAGCCCATCTCGCCAGAGTCACCCTGTGGGGAGAGCAGGACAGGGCTAGGGTGCTGGCCCGTCCCCCAGGACCCAGGGGCCATGGGAGAAGAGTGACGAGCTCACACGCGCGGTGCCAGCCTGGGTGCTGAGGGGCCAGGGGGCGGCGTCCTCCACCAGGCGAGCGGGGAATCCACGGGGAAACTCCACAAGGCTCCTCTCCCAGGTCCTCAGGAAGAGACAGGAGGGATCCGTGGAGCCCACCCACCCCAAGAGCTCTGTTAGGACATGGTCCCCTAGAGTCACCAGCGCTATGGGCCAGCTGTTTGATGTTCCCAGGTGCCCTGTTTATAGATGACAGAAATGAGGCTCAGAAAGGGCGGGAATTTGCTGAGCGTCACACGAGTACTATGTGATGGAGGGCACCAGGTTCAGACTGGGCGTAAGCAATTACAGAGGCCCAGACCCCCACAGCCAGTCTACAAAGTGGTCAGAGAACAACCAGTCAGGGAGGCAAGAGAGGACAGGACAGAGAAGTGGACTCTATTCATGTAGCCTACAGCTGACCTGTGCCTGGGCCACACTGTGGTTACTCTAGCTCTGTAATAAGTTCTGAATTGGGAAGTGTGAGTCTTACAAATACTCGGATCTTTTCCAGATCAGAATCTATTTGCTGACTTCAGCAGATTGTGGTAGGGACTGCACTGAATTGGGAGGCCAGTGTGTGGGGAGTATCGCCATCTTAGCAATGTCATCTTCTGATTCATGAACATGGGATGTCTTCTCACTTATTCAGGTTTTTCTTCAATATTTTTCAACAATGTCTTGATTGTGTTCAATCCATAGATCAATGTGAGAAAAATGGACATCCTCATAATCTTCAGTCTTTTAACCCATGGACACTATGTAGGTACATATGTTTTTTTTTTAAATTTTTCTTAGCAATGTTTTGTCGTTTTCAGGGTACATTTCTTGCACCCTGGTAGTAGATGTATCTCTTGGCATTTCATATTTTTTTGCTTTTATAAACAGTATTACTTCTAAATTTCAATTTGTGATTCCTTGTTACTAGAAATTGCTTAATATATAGTAATATAATTTATTTGTGCATATTGATCAGTTTCCAGTGATCTTAATAAACTTGCTTATTACAATTGCTTTCTTGTAGATTTCATTTGATTTTCCTCCGTAGAAATCATTTCATTCTACAATGAAAATTTTTAAATTTCTTTTTCATGCCTTATTACACTGACTAGAATGGCCAAGATGATATTAGATGGAAGGGGTAGCTTGTTTCTGCTCCATAAGAGAAAGCATCCAACTAATCACTACTGCATATGATGTTAACTGAGTTGTTCTTGGATTTTCTTTATCAAATGAAGAAGTTTCTTCTGTACCTAGTTTATTGGAGTTTTTATCAGAAATGAAATTAGATTTTTGTCAACTATTTTTCTTCATCTACTGAGACTATCAAATGGTGTTTTGTTTTAGTTTGTTAAATAGAAAATGATAGTGGAATGAGGTGGCCATCATTACCCTAGGTACATGTATGACTGTCCATATGCTGTGATACTACATCATGTACAATCAGAGAAATGAAAAGTTGTGCTGCAACTGTGTGCCATGAATCACAATGCTATCAGAATAAGTAAATAAAGTTTAAAAAAATATGGTGGATTAGAATGACCTATTTTCAAATGTAATACCACCCTTGCATTCCTGGGATAAACTCCACGTGGTCTTCTTGTGTTGTCCTTTTTAATACAGTCTTAGACTCATTTTTCTAACATTACATTGAGAATTGCTGTGCCTCTATTTATGAGGTATACTGGTCTGTAGTTTTCTTGTAATGTCTTTGGTTTTAACATCAGGTGATTCTGGCTCATGGAATAAGTTGGCTCACGGAAATAAATTCATTTTCTGAATAAGTTTACATAGAATAGGTATTATTTGTTTCATAAATGTGCTTAGTAAAATTCACCAGAGTTTTAATTGTGGGAAACTTTTAGACTCACTTATTCATTTTCTTTAAGAGATACATGGCTGTGTAGGTTATTGATTTCTTCTGGAATGAGCTATTAGTTTTGTCTTTGAAGAAATTTGCCCATTTCACCTGAGAGTTACTTAAATTTCTTGACATAATGGGTTTTTTTTTACAATATCCCCTTATTATTCTTTTAACACCTGTAGTATCTTTAGTGATAGCATCTGTTATTCCTGATATTAGTAATGTAAGTATTCTCTCTCTCTTTTTATTTTTCTGAGAAGTTTATCAATTTTACTGACTTTCTCAAAAAAACAACTTTCCATTTTTCTTATTGTTTTCCTGGTTTTTAAAATTTCTGATCTTATTGTTTCCTTTCTTCTGTCTGCTTGGTATCTAATTTTTTCCCTAGTTTCTTACAATGGGATCTGAGGCCATGGATTCGAAAGCCTTCTCTATTCCTTAAACACCCTACTAAGTGCTGTCTTGGCCCCACTAGTGATACACCGTGTTCTCATTTCATAAAATATTAATTTCCCTTTTGATTTCCTCTTGTGGATCATGTGGATGTTCTTTACTTAGTTTTCAAATATTTGGAGATTTTTCAGATATCTGTTATTGATTTTCCATTTCATCATCATGGTACAGAATATTCTTTGTGTGAATTGAATCTTTGTGACTTTTTAAGGCTCATTTTTATAGGCTCAGAATGTCATGTCTTCGCAAATGTCCTGCATGTGCTTGCAAAGAATGCATATCTTGCTGATACTTGGTGCAGTGCTCTATTAGGTCGCGTTTGCTGATAATGTTCCAGTTTTCTACATCCTTACCGAATTTCTGACTATTTACTCTATTTATTGATAAGAGAAATATATTGAAATCTTCAATTGTAATTGTGAATTCGTCTACTTCCCCTTATAGTTCTATCAGGTTTTGCTTACTGTATTTTTTAAAATATGTTTTATTTATTTTTAATGTGGTGCTGAGGATCAAACCCAGTGCCTCACACGGGTGAGGCAATTGCTCAACCACTGAGCTTCAGCCCCAGCCCTGCTTACTGTATTTTAAAGTCTATTATCAGGTGTATGAACATTCAGGATTTCTCTATCATCTTGACAAACTGACCCCTTGGATCACTATGAAATGAACTTCTTCATTACTGTTAATAACCACTGCTCCAAAATCCATTTTGTCTGATATTAAAATAGCTTCTCTGGCTTTCTTTTGACAAGCATTAGCACAAAATATCTTTTTCCATATCATGACTTTACCCTATTTCTGTCTTTACATTCAAATGTCTTTACATTATTGTAGTAGTACATAGTTGGGGCTTGGTTTTTTTATTCAATTAAATTATAAATCTGTTTTTTTGGGGGAGGGGTACCAGGGGTTGAACTCAGGGGCACTTGATCACTGAACTGAGCCCCATCCCCAGCCTTATTTTGTGTTTGTTTAGAGACAGGGTCTCATTGAGTTGCGTTGCACCTTGCCTTTGCTGAGGCTGGCTTTGAACTCGCCATTCCCCTGCCTCAGCCTCCTGATCCACTGGGATGACAGGCGTGGGCCACAGCACCTGGCATAAATCTGTTTTAACTGGGGTACTAGGGCCAATTGATATTTGTTTCTATTCTTTGTTGTCTACTCCTTGTTCATCTCCCCCTCTTTGTCCAGCAGGGTGAGGTATCTAGCCCCTGAGACAGATGGTGAGGAAGGTACAGGAAGAGCACTGTCCCTGGAGTGCAGACCCGGGTGCTGGTTGGGATCCCCTCTCCTCATTCTGGAAGGGCTGCAGCACCCCCACCATCCAGCTCAGGGAGGCTGACAGCATCTGGTGCCCAGAGAGATTATATCTCTCTTTGTCAACAAGTAGACAGGTGGCTTCTTGGCCTATGTGTACATTTGTGAACACAAGTGTTTGTGTGTGTGCATGTGTGGGTACATGAACACGAGTGTACGTGTGTCTGTAGTGTATTCTTCAGATGTGTGGGTATGTCTGAGTGTGTATGTGCATGCATGTGAGTGTGTGTACAGGTGCAGGTATACACGCATGAGTGTATTTGTGTGTGTGTATGTGTGCTTCTGTATACAAGTGGGGGTGTGTGAGTGTATTTGTGTGTGCACATGAGTGTGTGCTTTGTGACTCACTCACCGCCTGGCCTTTGGATCCTGGCTCCCCCTGCTTCCCAGGAAGCCCTGATCCGCCCTCAGTCCCTCTCTTGCCAGGGGGACCCAGCTGCCCTGGTAACCCACTTTCACCCTAAAAGAAACACACCAAGATTGCCAGTCAAAGGGGGAAATGATTCAGGGAGGGGGAGGGGGAGGGGGAGGGCCTAGGAGATCAGGGATTCCACAGGGTCCCTCGAGATCTCAGGGCAGTGGGGTGATGCAGGGAGGCTGGGAGGATGGAGACCCTCGGAGGAAGCCTCCTTCCTCCCTCTGTCGTGCCCTCCCTCTCCTGCACTGTCTCTCTTCTCCCCAGCATGCCACAAGCCCCACCTCCAGACCTGGCCACACATCCCTCCACCTACAAAACCTTCTCTTTTTCTCCGTCAAATCCTCACTGGGCTAAAGCCACCTGTCTCTGCCTGCTGTCCTCTCAGGAGGTTCCAACCATTCCCTACTAGACTCTAGTTCAGAGACAGCAAGAGCTGTGTCTGGGTCCTTGGACTTCATTTTCCCCTCAGGGTCTAGTCCTGGGCTCTGCCTGATTGACAGCAGCCTCTCATCCCAGGGAAGTTTTCTAAGGATGCCTGCCGCCTCCCATAGGCTGTTCCACCGGGACCCACAAGAGGGCGCCCGTGGACAACTCAGCTACAGTGGGTCATTTCCAGAGCCCTCTAGGGGGCAGTAGTTACAGCTCTGGGAATAAAGTATCCTATAAGACTGGGACAGGGACCCCAGAGAAAAGTCACAGCATAGATTTTAATTTTCACACAGGCCCTGGGACATGGGTGATATAAGAATTGGTAGAGCTAGTCAGAAAGGGCAGAGGGAAGGTAAGTGAGTTAGAAGCATCTGACCTTGAATCCTGGGGGCCCCTGTGCTCCAGGCAAGCCGGCCACACCTGGATTTCCTCTCCTCCCAGCAGGGCCCACAAGGCCAGGGTCCCCGTCATCCCCTTGATCTCCCTGTAAAGAAAGCAGGCAACGGAGTCTCTTGGATTTCAGGAAACAGGCCAGAGTCAGGGTGGGCACAGGGAGGACAGGAGGTCACTCCTGCCTGTGTGAGATGGCTGGACCCACAGGGACTGCAACAACTAGGATGTGAGGTCAGGCAGGGGTGGGCATCAAGGAGAGACCCCAAGAAGGTCCGTGCTCCCAGGGCCCAAGGGATGAGGCTGAAACCCACACCAAAGCATGCGGGAACTTCTGTGCCACCCCGCCAAGTGTCCCTACTGGCTCCCTGGCCTGTGGCATGTGGCAGCCCCCCTCCACACCTTGTCTCAAATGGAGACACCATCTGCTCACCCCAAGTCCTGCTCACCTGTGGTCCTGCTCGGCCATCCCTGCCAGGAAGCCCATCTGGTCCCGCGACACCCTCGGGGCCCTGTCTTCCCACCACGCCCCGCGGCCCAGGCAGCCCCGGCAGCCCCTGGGGGTACACAGGAAGGTGGTGAATGTTGGGGTGGGGGGAGCTTGAGGGGGCACAGCAGCCACAGGGACTCACCTGGATCCCCCTCCGACCTGGGGCCCCGGCCTTGCCCGGCTTTCCCTTTGGACCCTGAGAAAGCAAAAGTGAGGGTCACATGTCAGGCTGCCTGGAGGAGGGGGCGCTCTTGGGAGAGGCGTCCAGGAATGAGGGCCTCTGTGAGCTCCTGATTCCATGAGCAGTCCGGGACAGCAGCCTGGAGGCCCAGGGCCAGCCGCCTTGGGGTCAGCCAGTGCTGCTGTCCCCACGCTGCTTGGCCCCCTTGCTGCCGAGCTCTGGTCATTGTCCTCGTCTGGTGAGAGTCAGACCCAGGGCTGGCTGGCCCACTCATGAGGAGTGTGGCTATGCCTAGCAGGTGTGGGTGGAAGGGACCTGGCTGGAGGCCATTTACCTGGCCCAGCCTTGGGGAGGGAGGCCCAGGGACCCTGGTCAAGGCTGGGAAGGTCCCCTGTGAGCATCCTGTCCCTCTCCTCTTTCTCCAGACCCCTGCTTCCCTCCCGAGGTTTCCTGTCTCCAGTGGCTAAGGCGGTCAAGAGGCCACCCTGGCTCCTGCGGCCCTGAGTTCAGGCCCCTCTGCTGACCTGAGACAGGGGCTCCTCCCCAGGCACCGCACTTGGGCTGCGGGCTCACGGGGAGTCTGGTCCTGGGTCAGCCCTTCCCCTGGCCCGGGCCTCGGTCTCCCCAGGAATTCAGCCTTCTCACCTCTTCGCCTTTTGATCCTCTGGGTCCCGGCCGCCCCCGGGGTCCCGGATGCCCCTGCAAACCAAGGGGAGATGACGCAAGGCAGCCCCAGGATTCTCTCCCGGGGAGGGTGGCCAGTCTCCGCCTGGAGAGGGAGGGTGGGGAGGGGTTTGGGGGTGCAGGCTCTGGGGGTGTCCCCAGGGTCAGGGCAGGAGAAACCAGAACGGGCTGCTTCCCCACGTCCTCGGAGGGAGGGTCCCTTGAGTCTTTACTTCCCACTTACTGTCCCACCCTCCTCAGGGCAGGAGGGGGTGGGGCAGCAAGCACCACTCACGGGTTGGCCCTGCTGGCCAGGCTTTCCTCGGAGCCCGGGAACACCCTCCTGTCCCTGGAAGCCAAGGAGAGGCAGCTGAGGGGACCTGTCTGGGAGGGGCTAGGAGCCAGGGTAGGAGCCGCAAGCCCTGGCCTTCCTAGCCGCGCATCACCGTCCCTCCCCGAGCCCAGCTCCCCTGTCTGCAGAACGGGCGCGACAGGGACCCTCCACTCACATGTGGAGGAGGGACAGGGCGGGAGAGCCTGGTGGCTCAATGGTTCGCCACTGCTCCTGCTGGGGGAGCTGCTCCCAGCCACACGCAGGGAACCGAGGCCCTCGGAGGGAAGGGACCACTCAGGACCACAGCTGAGGAGGCTGCCAACAGGCACCAGGCCCAGCCAGTCTCCCTCGGACCTCAGCCTCTCTGACCCCAGGAAAGGCCAGGCCCCCCTCTCCAGTGGGACTAGTCCTGGCCTCTTAAAGGGGTCTCACTTCTAGCTGGGCACTGCCGGTGGAGGGGGGCCTATGTCCCGGGGCAGGTGGCCTCACGGTCCTGCAACATGTAGGACTCTGGTACTCACAGGGTATCCTGGGTCCCCGGGTTCACCACGGTCTCCTCGGTCACCCACAGGGCCCTGAATGACAAGGACAATAGCAAAATAAAGGCCACAGCCTCACCTCTGCTCAGCCTGCCCCCACAGAGCAAGAGGCCCCACCGGGAAGCCCACAGAGCCATGCAGCCCAGGGGAGGGGCAAGGCTTACCCGATCTCCAGGCGGCCCAGGGGGCCCCTCCGCCTTGCCGTCCTCCCCCTGCTCCCCCTGTGGACAAGAACCAGCTTTAGGAGGAGTCACCCGTCCTGGGGACTCTGGGGACTGCGGGCAGCAGATGCACAGAAAGGCAAGCAAGCCTCAGGCAGAGCTCGGGTGGTTTGGACCTGGGACTGGGGAGCACAAACAGCACCGGGGCCCAGTGGACCCCCTGCGGAGGCGGGCAGCACGAGGCCAGGGGTCAGCCCCCATCCCGGACGGGGCCAGCTGCGGGTCTTCAGCATGTCCCTTCCCGTCTTAGCTTTTTTCAGCTGGGGAAGGGCTGAGCTGGGTGAAGGGATGATGGTTAACGGCCACAGGGAGCCCACGAGACGGTGTGTGGATGCTGGCCCGTGTGGACACTGCCCTAGGCAGACACAGGCAGGCCCACTGAAGCCCCATCACTCTTCCTGTTTTGCAGAGGACAGGGGCACAGGGGGCTGTGGGAGTGCTCGGCTGCTCTGTCCTCAGTGGCTGGGAGGAAGTGGACCCCTGACCAGCGTCCCTCCTTCCATTGCTCGGAGCCCCAAAGAAGGCCCTGGGGCTTCTCCTGGAGACACCTGGCAGCTGGCCGACTGCAGACCTTGTCCCTAACACAGCTTCAGAGTGGACAGTGGGGTGGGGACACCTTCAAGCGTTCTTATGAGGCCTCAAGGGGAGGGGCCAGCCTCTGTGCCTGCTCGTGGGACTCCAGGTGGCCATTAGAATTGCTGTTGTTGATGACAGTAACAGAAGTGACCTGGCCAAGGACAGACGGGGTAGGAGCTGAGTCCAGAGCTGTGATCCTGGGCCATGGCGGACCCCGGAGGCCCTGGGACAGTGTGACTTCTTGCCAGCCACAGGGAAGGTGCGAGTGGAAGACGGGACAGAATCAGGGGCCAGACTCCACCCCCAGAAACTGCTGTGTCACCCTGGGGACCCATTCCAGGTAGGGGGCTCAGCAGGGAACCCTGAGCCCCCTGGTTGTCCACTGGGATTGGAAGAAGCCCGAGAGATGGGAGGGGGAAATGGTCCCTGGCAGGCCACGTCCTGGCCCGTGAGCAGAGGGCCGCGGCTGAGGTGCGTGGCTGGGCTCTGTGGCTCCCGTGGGGAGTGGCCAAGCAGGCAGGACCTGGCCTGAGGCCGAGAACCAGTGGCCCAGGGAGTGGGGATTCCCTCTCCTTCCCGCCCACTCTGGCTGGGTGACCTAGTGCTCAGTCCCACTGTGGAGGGCCACTGGGGACTGGTAAGCTCTGGGCAAGGGATCTGGCACGTCCCATGCTGGGCACTTCATGGGGTTCATGTCACACCTCACTTCACAGAATCTACACGACAGTCCTGTGCTGCTGGGCTGCACTTCACAGACGGGGGAGCTGAGGCCCAGGAAAGGGGGTTCCCAGCCAAGGCCACTGAGGAATCGAGGGCCAGGTCTGCAGATCTGCCCCCGACACACGCAGGCCACCCTCGAGGCTGCAGGCCGGGCATGCATCTCTGGAGAGCTGGCCAGACACCCTGCCTGCCCTGTGCCCAGAAGCCCATGCAGCCCTCTGGTGGCCTCTTCACAGACACGTGTCCACAGGGTCTCTCGTTATATTGGACACGACCCAGGGCCCACGTTCTGATGCCCCATCTCCCCCCCCACCACTGGACAGGGCCCAAGACCCATGGCTCCTTCAGTGAGTCCTCTCCTGTCTGAGCCAGAGCCTGGGCCCCAGGCGAGGGATGAACGCGCTTCCCCTTGGCCTTGGGCTCAGGCCTCCACCGGGGTCCTCTGCGCTCAGCACACGCCTCGCTCCCGCTGGGTGGTCTCATCATGTGGGGGTTTCCGTGACCACAGGCACAGATGAGGGGGTGGCACGGCCTCAGTCACCTCGTGACTGACATCTATGCTTGACCTTCACCCTGTCAGGGCAGGGGATGTGCCTCTTGTCCCAGGACTGGGCACAGAGGTGACCATGATACACAGGTGAACATGGAGCTCAGCTCCTGCCTGCTGGGCTTAGCGGACTGACGTGCCTGGCAGGCCAGTGCGAGTGAGCAGGGCCGCCTATGCCACCCTGTCTCCAAGGACCCCAGGGGTGTGTAACTGCTGACCCCAGAGCTGACCCTGGCCCCAGATATAAGGGGTAGCTGCTTCTCCATGATCAAATACCCACCTTTTCGCCTTTTGGTCCCGGAGGCCCGAGGGGTCCCACAGTGCCTTTGTGTCCCTGAAGGCAAACATGATAGAGTTGAGGGGCAGATGGGGACTCAGGAGGGACAAGGGCACTGACCAGGAACTCAGATTTGGATGGAGGCACTGGACTGAGACACTGGGTTCCAGCTCTGCCCCAAGTTGCCGTGTGGCTTGAGCCAGCTCCCTAGGTCTCTGGGCCTGGCCTCCAGACACACCTCTAAGGGGTCTCAGGCCAGCCTGCTGGTTGGGGACTCAGAGGACCCCAGGCTGCGGCCAGAACTGCAGACGCAGGCACCTCCCCCACCCAGTCCCTGCCTTCTCTGACCCCCCCTTGTCCTTCCCCTCTCCCAGACCCCTGCAGGGTCTCCATCACACCTTGTCTCTGGCGAGGGCCACAGGGACCCAGGATGGGACCCTACAGGCCCCTCCCATGCTCCTTCACCCCCAGCCTCGTCTCCCTTTCTGATCAAGCCCCACTGCCACCTGTTCCACCCGTGGTCCCCTGCCACCCCCCACATCTGTGGGCCCAGGAGCTGCCTGGGCAGGGGGGACCCATCTCCTCGGTGGCCCTGGGGCTAGCCTTTAGCTGGGGATGCGGGGGCCAGGCAGAGCCGAGCCTGCAAGACAGGGCTCCAGGGAGGGAGGGGAGGTTTCCAAAGGTGGCGTCTGCTTACATCGTAACCAGCCAGTCCTGGGTCTCCTTGGGCCCCCATCCGACCTGGAGCACCCTAGGAGAGGAGGAGACCCTCGTTGGTGTGGAGCGTGGCTCTCAGAGCAGGGACACAGCGGGGACACTCTCCCCAGGGTTCCAGCTGCACTCAGTCCAGGGGTCAGGCATGTCACCTGCCCATGAGGACGGGGTGGGGGCGGGGGAGCAAGGTGGAAAGGAAGCCCGGGCCTCCTCCCCAGCAGCCACCCCACCCTTCCTTCTCCAGGCTCCCGAGGGCCACCATGGCCACCTGCTTCACTTCCAAAACTTTCACAAGCCACTTAAACAGAGCTGTTATTAAGATTTAAATTTTATGGACTTAGAGTTAAATCAGTTTTATTAAAATCAAAGATGATACTCAAAACTCATCCCTCCCTGGCCCTGTGCCCCATCTTCCTGTTGCTCTAGGGAGCTGGGGATGGACGCGACCCGACTCCGCCTTTAATGATGTGGGGGTGGGGGTAGCTGGACGCCAGCCCCAGTGGGAGCACTATCGGCCACCCGGCCTCCCCTGAGGTCCTCCCTCCCACAGCCCGGGTGCCCCTCTGGCCCTTCCTGCAGGACAGCCCAGCCACACTCAGGGACACCCTCAAGTCCTCCAGGGGCCTGCCCTGGCTTCACCCCACCCCAGAAGCCCATTCCCAGTGAGAGAGCTTGCTTGGTAAGAATACCCAAGGGACTGTCCCCTCCCCCTGACCACAGCAGGGCTTTAGTACTGGGGTGCACAGGAAGCCCCAGGAGACCCGCAGACCCCTTCAAACTGCAAGAAACCCTTCGCCTGTGTGTTCAGAGGGCAGAAGCTCTCTGCAGGTCCCCAAGGGGATCGTGATCCCAACGAGGGGACAGGGACGGGGAACACCAGGTGCTCAGCTAACAGCTGGGGTGGGCGATGCCCTCAGAAAGAAGCCAGTCCCTCCCTTCGTGCCCTCGGTCCCTCCCTCCCATGCCTGGCCCCCCTCCCCCAGCCAGAGTCCTCACCGTGGGGCCCAGGCTGCCCCGGGAGCCTTTAGGGCCTGGGGTGCCAGGGGGTCCTGGGTCTCCGGGGACACCCATCTCACCCAGCTGTCCTTGGTAACCCTTGGCGCCCTGCAGTGGGAGGAGAGACAGGCTGTCATGGGCCCCGTTGGGAGGGGAGGGATGTGGCTCACCATGGCAGTCGGGGGACCCACCTTGGCCCCTGGCCGGCCCTTGTCACCTTGCTTCCCTGGTCTTCCTTCAGGACCCTGAAAGGAGAGGGGGCAGGGAGTGAGAGGTGATGAGATCCGAGCGCTGTCCCCGTGACCTTGAGCACCTCCTAACTTCCTGGGTGTCCCATCGGCAGAGTGGGGACAGTGTGGAGTGTGCCCCACAGAGCTTAAGGAGCAGGGACACAACAGGGTCTGGCCGTGAGGTCTCCCACGAGTGGTTGGTGTGGCTTCTGCCACCGCGGGTATCTATGGCGGGTCCCCCGTAAGCCGGATCACGGTCGTGATCTTCCCACCCTGAGAAGCCCTGTGCTGAGCTCTCCGTGCACCAAGCACGTTCCACCCTCTAGTGACCCGACATGGCCCCAGTGAGGCCCTTCCACAGATGGGGCAGCCTGGCTGCCCACAGGTCCCCTGCCAGGTTCTGACCAGTGGCAGGGCTGCCTGGTTCCTCGTCCACCTGGTTTCCACTCCCACCTCAGGTCCCTGTTGGGACACAGGGGGCAGGAGAGGTGACTAGGGCCTCCCATCTCTGAGCTGTCATGCATCACTTCTATGCCATCCCTGAGGCCATGTCCCGCCACGGGGTCCCCTTTGCTTGCTATGCTGAGGGGCCTCCTCGGGTGGGCACCATGTTGGGAAGTCGGCCGCCCTGTCCTCTCCCCCACACGGCATCTCAGCACGCTCCGGCCCACCCTGGGGGAGGACCATCACCTCACAAGACACAATGTAGTGACACTGTACGGGAGAGGATGACTGTTCCCAGGAAGACCACTGGTCAGACCACACCGTGGCTCCAAAGGACCGAGGCACAGACTCCTGCATCCCCGGGCTCCAGGGCTCCGCTCTAATCAGGAAGCCCGCGCTGCCCAGCAGGGCCTCCAGCCAGCATGGAGGCCGAGCCCACAAAACCCAGCTGCTGTGGCCGAGGCCTGGGCCCCGAGTCCACTCAACTTTCAAATCAAATTGAAAACGTCAGGTCTAAATCAGCCTCGGCAGAACCTGACGCCTACTTGAGACCACTGGGGTCTGCGGGTCCCCATTTCCCATGGACGTTGAGTGAGCTCGAAAGCCAGGTCAAGCATCGCCAATGAAAATGGCCGCACGGAAAATCCCCACGTCAAGTATTTCTAGAGCATTTCCACCTGAATCGGGGTGGGCTGGGAGCGGAAGCCGCACGCTGGGTTTCAAAGACTTAGCGCCAAAAACAAAGAAAGAATGCAAAATAGCTCGCTAGTGATTTTTAACTATCGATTCCCTTTAACTATTGATTCCTTGTGGAAATAATATTTTGGATTTATTTTTTTCTAAACAAATGTTATTAAAATTAATTTCACCTGTTTGTTTTTACCTTTTTAAAATGTGGCGACTAGAAAATTTTAAGTTATGTGGCTCGTATTCTGGTTCTTTCCCTTCCCTCCCTCTTCCCTCTTTCCCTCCCTCCCTCCTTTCTTCCCTCCCTCCTTCCCTCTTTCCCTCCCTCCCTCCTACCCTCCTTCCCTCCCTCCCACCTTCCCTCCTTCCCTCCTTCCTTCCCTCCCTCTCACCTTCCCTCCTTCCCTCCTTCCTTCTTTCCCTCCCTCCCTCCCTCCCTCCTTCCTTCCCTCCCTCCTTCCCTCCCTCCCTCCTTCCCTCCCTGCCTCCTTCCCTCTTTCCCTTCCTCCCTCTTTTCCTCCCTCCCTCCTACCCTCCTTCCCTCCCTCCTACCCTCCCTCCCTCCTTCCCTCCCTCCTTCCTTCCTTCCTTCCCTCCCTCCCTCCCTCCTTTCTTTCTTCTTTTTGTCCTGGGGATTCAACCCAGAAGCACTTGAACCACTGAGCACATCCCCAGCCCTTTTTATTTTTTAGAGACAGGGTCTCATTAAGCTGCTTAGGGACTTGCTAAGTGCTGAGGCTGGCCTCAAACTTGTGATCCTCCTGCCTCAGCCTCTTGAGTCCTCAGCTGGGATTAAGGGCATGCGCCAACACGCCTGGCTCTGTACTGTTTTGACTGGACAGCACTGGACACAGCCATCTCCAGGTCTCTTGCTTCTCCAGTAGTAAAATTCTAACAATCCTCATGCTCTAGCCACCAGTCAGGCTAAAGAAACTGAGACCTGGTAAGAAGAGGTACTGTCTGCAGGCCGCCAGCACAGGTTAGAAGTGACGTGCAGTGTCACTTCCTGGGGCACGCCTGGCCCAGGCTGGCCCTGTTGGGCCCTGGTGAAATTGTGGTGCGGTGGCTGGGGGAATCTGCCAGTGGACTGAGGTGACCACAGTAGCTGACTGGTTTCTTGTCAGAGGAAAGCATTGGATCTAGGGTCAGGGGACGGGAGACCAGGCCATCTCCAGCTGAGAACACCCCAGAGATGGGGAACCCCGAGAATGGCTGCAGCACCCAGTGGGCTAAGGCTGTGGGACTGGAATAGTGACTGTGGCTGGGCCCCACCCATGGGCAGTCAATCCTCAAGTACTAACGGGACAAGTTCAGGGCAATGCGCCGTGAGGCGATTCTGTCACTGTGCGCACATCACACAGTGTGCCCACACAGCTAAGCTGGCTGTGACGTCACCAGGCGACAGAGTCCCCAGGGACCAGGGCACGTGTGCAGATCCTCATCACCAAACATGAGAACGTGGAGCAGGACTGGGGCACGCTCCGGAACGGCCCTGACGGCTGGAGAAAATTCTATTTTTAAATACTTGACTCTCTGCAGGCCACAGGCCGGAGGTGTCCGTCCTGTGCCCTGAGGCCAAAGAAGCTCAAAAACAACAAACAAACAAACAAACAACTGGGCCTCCTTGGCCTCAGGCCTCCACGGCCTCAGGGCCCTCTGCACATGCAGGCTGCCCCCTGCCCCCTGGTGAATGAACTGGGAGTGACAGCCAGACACTGACGCTGGCATTGCTACCACCACTGTCACCACAACCACAGCACTATCACAGCCACTGCCACCACCACATCACCATCACCATCATCACCACCATCACATCACCACCTTCATCACCCAACATCACTAACATCACCACCATGATCATCCCATCACCATCCACCATCACCACCATGACCATCACAACCATCACCATTATCATCACCACAATCATCACCACCATCACCAGCATAACCATCACCACCATCTACCATCACCATCACCACCATAACCACCATCACCATCACCATCAGCACCATCACCATCACCATCTACCATCACCATCACCACCATCACCATCACCATCTACCATCACCATCACCACCATCACCATCACCACCATCATCATCACCAGCATAAACATCACCATCACCATCTACCATCACCATCTACCATCACCATCACCAGCATAACCATCATCATCACCAGCATAACCATCATCATCACCAGCATAACCATCACCATCACCATCTACCATCACCATCACCATCTACCATCACCACAATCATCACCATCACCAGCATAACCATCACCATCATCATTATCACCATCTACCACCACCACTACTACCATCATCACCACCATAACCACCATCACCATCACCATCATCACCACCACCACCACCACGACCAGCACTACCACTGCTGCTGTCACCCCCAGTCCCATCCACAAATCCTTCACCTCCACCACCAGCTTCTATTCCTCTCCTCCTCGGAACCCTCAGTCTTCGGTTCTGGGCGCTGCCTGTGGAGTCTCACTGACTCTTTCTGGATGAGAAGACCAAGGCTCAGAGGAGCACAGTGATTTTCCTACAGGCACAACGAGGGGAGCTGCTGAAGCCAGGATGCAGGTGCAACCTCTGGACTCTGTCCTCAGGGTATTTCTGCCACAGTGCCTGCCATTGTACAGTGTGATACTTAAAACTCAGTAAAAGGGGTGCCTGGAATGTGGGATGTCAAAGGGATCTTAGCACACATTTTCCCCTCCAAATCTTTCATCGTGACAAGGTGAGACCAGAGAGGGCAAGGAGTGAGTGAAAAAGTCACACAGCAAGTTACTGAGGGAGAATGGGGGCCAGCGGCCCTTCTGCCGAGTCCCCCTGGCCCATTTCCCCACAGCTGAGCCCAGCCTGGGGAAGCCTCTGGCATGGAGAGTCCAACCAAGTGCTCCTGTTCCTCTCCAGTTCAGTGGTGAGCTCATTCTGCTGCAGCTGTTAAGGGGGATTAGCACTTTGGTTCTATTTTTAGGAAACAAACATTTTCCCACAACCAGTTTGTTGCCGGCTAATTTGGATCTGTCCCAGGTTAGTCACTTCGACACTCTGGGAGGGAAAGGGAATGTCAAGAATAGGCCTGAATGAAAGTGGGCTGAGGGGTGGGGAATAGCCCAGACCCTCCACTGGGAGAAGAAGGGGACTCACAGCCCGGGGGACGGCTACGACACGGGGTCCCACCGCCCAGCAGGCTGGTGCTGTAGCAGCGAGTTGGCAAGCTGGCCCTCCGGCCCCCCAGCTCAGCTGTGGACACCCCCGGGCCCACTACCAAGAAGGTCCCAGTCGTCAGCCCGGTGCCCCCGCCCGAGCCTCGCCCTCGAAGGCCCTGCCACTGCAGGCAGGTTGTGCCTGTGACCAGGAGCCCAGCGCTGGCCCGCCGCCCGCACACTCACCCGGACGCCGGTGACACCAGGAGGGCCGGGGGCCCCGTCCTCGCCCTTGAGCCCTTCCTGGCCTTTCTCGCCATGCTCTCCATCAGGCCCTGGGTCACCTCGGTCCCCCTGGGTCGGGAAGGCATGAGGAGGGGAGAGAGCGCATCAGTCACAGGCCACCTGAGCCCAAGCCTCGGGGATCCGCGTGGAGGCCCGAGTCGCCTGAGTCGGGCTGGCAGGCGTGGCCAGCATGGGCCGTGTCCCGCAGGGCGGCTGCCACATGTCCTTGCCTGAGCTGGGGCCAGACAGGGCAGTGGCTCAGAGAAAAGCCAGGCCTCTGTGCACAGCCACCGGGAGGTCCCAGGAGGGGCAAGGTAGCAGACACGGTGACTTGGCCCCGAGGCCGACTCCCTGGAGAACGGGGACGAGATGAGGTCTTTAGTGGGGGACAGGATTGAACTCAGGATTGAACTCGACCCTGAGCCACGTCCCCAGCCTGTTTTGTATTTTATTACAGCCAGGGTCTCCCTGAGCTGCTTAGAGCCTCGCTATTGCTGAGGCTGGCTTTGAACCTGGGATCCTCCTGCCTCAGCCTCCAGGGCCGGGCTGGATGAGTCTTTATCAAGGAGGAAGCGCCATCTGAGGGGCCACTTGTCACTACTCCAAGGTGCACTCCTCAGCTTCGCTCACCCCGAGGCAGCATGGTCACAACACACACCACATGCCACATGCCATGGCTCTGCCGGGAGCCAGGCCGCATGCAGCCAGGCCTCGGCTCCAGGCAGCTGAGCGAGTTAGGGGTAAGCTGGGCCGCGTCCCCAGAGATGATGCTGAGATGGCCTTCGTGGCCTGCTCAGCGTGGGCACATGGCACCCTGTCGGGTGGGTGGCAGCCAGTGTCACCTGGCGCTCCCGTGTCTGGCCTCGATTCTGGATCCTTTAAACTAACTTCCTCCTGGCCGCAGCCTCTCGGGGCACGTGTCCTTAGGTCCGGCTTTACAGAGAGGACACTAAGCCGAGCAAGACCCATCGCTTGGCCTCAAATAGCAGAGCTGGACTGGCCAGCTCCCGCCAAGCCCCTCTCCCTGAAGGCAGCTCTGTAGTTACTGGGGATGTCACCAAGGTCCTCTTGGGACTGCAAGGTCCGGGGCACCTGAGGCTCTGTCCCTGGGAAGGACTGTGGGCTCTGAGAGCCCAAGTCACAGGCTGCGTCTGCTCCCCGAATGCTCTGGCTTTGCAAAGGGCTTTGATGGCCAGGTGACCCTGAGCTTGCCGCTCCACAGGGTCCTGGGGAAAGCAGGCTCCTCCAGGACGCGGTGGGGGCCCTGGGCAGAGCAGGCACGAGGGGTGAGGCTGGGCAGGGGCTGCAGGTGGAGGGCAGGGTTCGTCAGAAGGCTGTCACCCCGGGGTCTACGGCAGGGGCTGCTCAGGGGCCCCTGGAGGGTGAGGGCCTGAGGTCACATGAGTGGGGAAGGAGCGTCTGGGAGCAGTCCAGGAGGAGCAGCATGCGGCTTGGCCAGTTTTGTGTCCTGACGTCACAGCGGATGAGGGACCCTGGCAAGGCAGTGTGGATGTGGAGGGAGCCCAGCGTGGGCTGCAGGTCAGGCCAGGGCCCCGGGTAGGCCCACTGAGGTTCTCAGATTCCAGGCACAGCCTGGTGCAGAGAGGGGCTGCCCCCCTGGCCCCCCGTATACCCCTTGCTCTGAGGCCGCTCCTAGCTCATCACCCTGGCCGCCCTGTACAGGACCCGGTCCCAGGGCGACAGCACCCTGCAGGCCTCCCACACAGCTGGGGTGCTCCTGTGGCCCCGCAGAGCAGGCTCCGGGGATTCCGGGGACACCTGTGACCTCAGCGTTCCAGGCCGCCTGATTCCACTCTCCCCATTCATAGATGGGAAGACTGAGGCCCAGAGGGAGATGGGGACGCCTCACGCCACGCAGTGGCCAGTGGCGGAGTGGTGAGCACACAGAGCTCCGGCTCCTTCTCAGCCCAAGGACCTCTGCCCAGGGACAGCCTCCCTCAGCCCTGGGCTGCGCTCTTTACTGCACCCAATAGCTGGGTGACCCTGGGCAGTTTCCTTGTAATAAAACAAGGATCAAGGGGTCACTGAGGGGCCTGAAGGACAGAAAGCCTGCAGAGAGCTTAGCATAGCGCCTGGGAATGAGGGTGGAGAGAGGGGAGCTATCACTGGGCACCGTCACTGTCAACAGAGACTGGTCCAGACGCACTCTATAAACTGTCAAATGCTGTCCACACCTAGAGGCAGTTTTCACCATGAAGGTGACGCCTGGGCAGACACCATAGAAGGCAGAGTCTCTCCTGGGATTCATGCAAGGACCAGGGAAGGTGCTGTGCATCTGAGCAACTACTCTGGTCCAAGGACACGGGTAGAATTAGCTTTGAAGGGAGTGAAAGAAGACAGAAGTGGGGCCCAGGGACCTGAGTGGTGGAGGAGGAAAGGGACCCAGCTGTACCCCAGGGCTGGGGGAGCTGTCACCCTTTAAGCCAGCCGGGGCCTGTCACCAAGGCACCCTGGGAGAGGGGAAGTCCTGAGCTCTGGGGGAGGGGCACGGGCAGAGGCCTGGGCCTGGGGAAATGCAGGCTAGAGGAGAGGGTGCTGGTCTGAGGCCACGGAGGGTGGCACAGGGGATCTGGCTGTGGCGCTCACCTGGGACCTGGGAGGGGCTGGTGGGGATGATGTGCCCAGTGCCAGTCAGCCCTGGAGAAAGCCCACCTGAGGGGCAGAAGTGGAGGCCGGCCAGGCCTGGGCCGGGGTGGGGCTGGTGAGTCAGGGCTGCTGCCTGCAGAGAGCCCCTGCGTCCCTCTAAGGGCCCTGCCTTTGTGGCTGACGGGGACCGGCCGGGCTGAGCTGGGCCAATAAGCTTTGGCTCTGTGAGCCTCGAGTTTGAATCCTGGATCCTCCATTCACAGCCTTAGACTCTGAACAGACACCTCTCTGCCCCCCTGTGAGCCTCAATCTCCCCACCTTTAGAACTGGGGCACCCTGCAGCAGAAAGAGCTACAGTTTGAAGCCAGATAGACCCAGATTTGGGCCCTGGGTTTGCCAGTTACTAGCTGTGTGTCCGCAGGCAGGCTGCTAAACCTCTCTGAGCCTCAGTTTCCTCTCTAAAGATATAACTTACCTTGCAGCAATGATGGAGGTGATTCATACAGAGGGCTCAGCCGGTACCTGTGTCACTAGTCCTCCCTAAACAGTGGCCTGCACATCAACGCTGGTGGTTATTGTTTTTCTAATATTTTAGGATGCTTGGAAGGCAACAGAAACCAAAGCCTGGGCTCTGGGCCCGGCCTGGAGGGCGCTCAGCAACCTCCCTCAGCCAAGAGAAGCAGATGTTTCAGGAGAAGGGAGCACAGATGAGTGGGAGGTGGTGACAGCCCCCAGCTCCACCGAGCAGGCACCTGGGTGGGCAGGGCCAGGCTCCCAGGGGGCCACACTGACCGCAGAGGCTGTGGGGATGGGTGCTCTGGGAGGGCAGAACTGACCCCCTCCTCCCAGCTCCTGACCCAGAGGGCACGTACCTTTAGCCCGTCGGGCCCAGCAGGGCCACCGTCACCCTCGAGGCCTGGCTCTCCCTGGAAAGGGGATGAGAGAGACCAAGACACATTATTATATTGGGAGGGGTCCAGAGAGCCCCACCTCGGGCCACGGGGAGCACGAGGTGTTGGACAGGAGGAAAGACGGACACACGGTCAGGCCTGGAGCCCATGAACAGAGGCCCTCGGACGCCCTCTCCCCCGTGGGCTGCCCCATCAGGAAGGGGCCTGCTGTGTCCTCAAGCTGCCCAGGGGTCATGTTCAGGAGGACTTAATAAACCAGCAGGGAACATAAAGAAATGGCCCCAGGGCCCTCGAGGGCTTCGCAGGTCTCTCTTGGAGAGGGAGGGACAACTGTGGACAGTTCTGAAGGACAGACATGTTCTCAATAAAATCCCTGGAATTTCGATGCCTTTGGACGCCCTGGGTTCACCCAGAGGAGGCCACTGACTGCAGGCCTTCTCAGAGGTGCTAATGGGTAAGTGCGAACACCAAGCGTGCACGTCCCCAACGTCCCCAGCCACAGAACGCTTTCCTCCACACTGGGGAAACGCTAGTGATGGGGGTGCACGAGGCCGGGAAGAGGCCTGGTCTGTTTCTAAGCTGAGGAAACCAAGGGTCAAGGAGGCTGAATGGAGCCCTTCTCTCCCTTCCTCGCCTGCGCCCACGCCCTGGGCTTTCCAGGGAGAAGCACTGCTGCTACTTACCCGCTGCCCAACGAGGCCCTGCTCCCCAGGGGTGCCCAGGGGTCCAAGGTCGCCCTAGGAGAAGCCAAACACAAGTCCATGAAGGCAGGTAGGCCCAGTCCCAGTCCTCGCAATACCCTCCTGTTTCCACCAGGGGGCAGGAGGGAGCTGGGGAAGTCCCTCTTCCCAAAGACCAAAGAGAATCATAAAGCATCAACCAGAGCCCCTACTCTAGGTCAGCCCTGGACATGGGCTTCCCCAGCACCAGGGAAGAAAGACCATCACCATCACCATGATTATCATCTCCACTATAATCACTACCATCACCATCTCCACCATCACCATCACCACCATCACCATGATTATCATCTCCTCCATAATCACCACCAAAACCAACACCATCACCATCATATCATCAAAATCACCATCATCATTGCCACCACCACCATTCCATCATCACCACCATCACCGTCACCATGATTATCATCTCCACTATAATCACTACCATCACCATCTCCACCATCACCACCATCACCATCACCATCACCATCACCATGATTATCATCTCCACCATAATCATTACCATCACCATCACCACCATCACCATCACCATCACCATGATTATCATCTCCACTATAATCACTACCATCACCATCACCACCATCACCATCACCACCATCATCATCACCACCACCATCACCATGATTTATCATCTCCACCATAATCACTACCATCACCATCACCATGATTATCATCTCCACCATAATCACCACCAAAACCAACACCATCACCATCATATCATCAAAATCACCATCACCATTGCCACCACCACCATCCCATCATCACCACCAGCACCATCATCATGATTATTGTATCCACCCCCATCAACCCCTCCCAATTTCATCACCACCATCACCACCACCACCATCATTATCATTGCCAATATTACCATTACCACCATCACCATTACCATGATTATCATATATCCCTCCTAATTATCACCACCATTATCATCACTATCACCATCAGCAGCTTCTCCTTGTCATCACCATCATTATTATAACCATCACTGTCATCACCACCACCACCATCATCAACACCACCATGATCACCACCTTCCAATCATCACCTCCACTATCACCACCATTACCATAATGCCTGTGATCATCATTACTGTCATTACTATCACCACCATCACTACCTTCACATCATAATCAGCATCACCACCATCACCATCACCATCACCACCACCACCACCACCACCACCACCATCACCATGAGTATCATCTCCACCATCATCAACACCTTCCAATCTCATCTCCACCACCATCACCACCACCTTCACAATCACCATTATCTTCATGGGCGATGGCGCACTATCCTAAGTACTTTTTGCTCTGAACACCTCTGGCTTTCGCCACTACCCTGAAGGAGAGAAACTCTGGTCAGTAACCAGACCACAGTCTAGCGCGGGGCCCGTGTCTGGTGACACACTCAGGGTACAGATTGGAGTGGCCTGGCCTGGAGGCTCGGTACAGGATGGCCACTCTAACAGACAGCTTCTTGCCCTTCCTGGAGACTGGAAAAGAAACTCAGACCAGAGGGAGGCTCAAGTAAGAGTCACCTGCACCCTGAAGATCCCCAAGGGGTCCTTCTCATGCAGGGACTTCCAAGCCCCACTCCTGCTGGGGTCTGGGGCACGAGGAGGAGGCAGAGCCCAGCACTCACCAGCCCTCCCCACCTATTCCTACACGGGGGGCGGGGGTCACCATTGTTCTTTGAGCAAAGGTTCTGGAGCTAAGCCAAGCCCGACAGCCACAGGCCGGTCCAGCGCCCTCTGAATGACAGGGAGACTCAGGCACGGGGCGGGATTGGGGGGATCGGCGCCAGCCCCGCGGCCCCGGCCGGCTCCCCGGGTCGTAGGCCCTCTTCCAACAGCAGAAGTGGGAGGCCCTCCCAGGCCCAGGTATAGTGGGCATCTGCTTCTTGGCAGGTAACGGGGGACAGCAGTGCTGAGACGCAGGTGGCATTGCAGGCCCGGAGATGCGGCCCCCCGACTTGCAGCCTAGCAGGTGCTAGAGAAAACGCTGCCCAGCAGGGGCAGGGCGGGGCTCTGGGCAGACGGGCACCCACCGTGGCCACCCCAGGCCCTGCTCCCCAGCAGGAGCACAGAGAGCCCATTATCCCAGGCACAAGAAACGCCTGTTTCCTTCTGTGGGTGGGGGTGGGGGACATGGACAGTGGCAGCTGGGTGCTGGTGTCGACAGCCATTTTTCTCGTCTTGCATCCCGCCTCACCTTCATCCCTGCTTCCCCAGGAAGGCCGGGTTCTCCCACTGCACCTGGCGGCCCCTGCAAGAAAATGCCATCAGTCTCTCCTAGAGCAAGGGCCGGCCCCTGGTTGTAAGCAAGGGGGTAACTGAGGCCCAGAGAGGGCCAGGGATATACTCAGGTCACACAGCATGAGAGACACAGAGACAGAAGCAGGCAGCAGCTTCTGGGAGCCTGAGCTGGGGCTAGGGAGGGTGGCTGGGCCCAGACTGGCCACACCTTAGGACTACCTGTGGCTGCTGGACCCTCTCCCTGCCCACGAGTGCGGTTTACCACCTAGGAGCCTGGGCAAGCCCAGGGGGGGAACTCATGGTTCACCTAAGGCCTGGGACAAGGCCAGTGTGAGCTCAGGGCTGAGCGGTCAAGCTCTTCTCCGCAGTGGGGCCAGGACAGGACAAAGGGCGCTGCGTCACCCCGGGCATGGCCTCGGCCTCGCATTCACCCCAGGGCTTGGCTTTCTCCTCTGGATAAGGCCGGGAGCTCTGAGGCCCCTCTGCTCCTTGCTGCCTGAGGCTGTCTGGTCCCACCTCTGTGCGGCTGAATTCCCAGCAGGGGGGAGGCGGGTACTCTCAGTGAGGCAAAGAGGCCCTGCCAACCCCGAGGGCCTGGGCCTGGGAGCCCAGCTCTGGTCTCTGCCTCTGGCTCGGGCCTCCCCTCTCTGCAGGGCCTAAGCTCCAGTCTCAGCACACAAGGCTCCGCCATCTCCCTGGGCCAGGACAGGGACGGCAGGAGGGTGCCCCTAGGAGGAGGCGGGAGGGGCAGCAGGAAGGACCAGCAAGGGTGCCCAGCACTCACCTTGGGTCCCATCTCTCCCAGAGGGCCCACTGGTCCCTGGGGTCCCTGAGGGCCCTGGAAGACAGACACACAGACACACAGTTGGGAGAAGCCAGCTTCCTACCACACGGGCTGGAGCGGTGGGGGAGGGGAGGACCAGCAGGTCCTGGGACGGAGCAGCCCAGCCCGCAGCCCAGCCCGCTCCAGCCGCACTGCAGGACCCTAGAAGTCCAGGTCCTCAGTCCCAATCTCCTGTGGTCCCCCAACCACCTGCACCCTCCTACTCACCCTCCAAGCCCAGCAGGGCTGCCCTGGGGCCCGGGCTCTGGGCCTGGCTCATCCTGATCCTCTGCCCCACAGACCCCCACCTCTGGTCCTGGACAACCCAGCGCTCAAAGGGCCTCTCTCTCATCCAGGCCCTGGGGCAGAGCGTCCTGCCCACCCTAGTGCCCTCTGGGGAGGGCCCAGGCACTCGCTCAGCTCTGGAGCCGCCCTGACCCCCATCTCAGCAGCAGCACTGGCCCCGGCAGCCTCCACAAGGAATGGGGACACCTGGGCAATCCCCCAAGCCCAGGCCCTGGCATCTCCTGACAGCAGGTCACGCTCTTCAACGGCTCCCTCACCCTTAGGACAAAGGGCCGATGCTGGCCATGGCCAGCCACCTCCTGACAGCCCCTAGTGTGCTGACCGGTGTCCCCGTCTGTCCCCTCCCTGCCTTTCTCTGCGCTGCACGTCCTCCACACATCTCCCGTCTCCTCCCCACCACAGATGGGCGGGGCAGGGGCAGCTGTCCCCTCCTTGATGGCAGAACAGGCTGCAAGGAAGTGCACGGAGGCCCAAGCATGGAGTTCGGGCAGGGCTCTCGCCCTCACCTGGGCCTGGCCCAGGGACAGTGGGGCCCAGCATGGTCCCTTTCCAGCCCTGCTCCTTGTCTGGCCCACACCCCTGGTGGCTGGTCTGAGACCAGCACAAAGGTGTCAAGAGGGTAAGGGACACTGACCGGTTCTCCTGGGAGGCCCTTGGTGCCAGGGGGGCCTGAGGGACCCGGGATGCCCTGCAGAGAGAGACACAGTGACCACAGTCCCTCCCCGCCATGGCTGCGCCTGCTCCTGGACCTCAGGTGAGTCACGCAGGTGTCCTGGGTCTTCCCCACCCCACAGGCGTGATCCCATGTGACAGGCAGGGAGGCAGAGACCCAGGGGAGGACACATGCTGAAGGGGCTGGAGGCCATGGGGTCTCCGTAGCAGGCCAGGAACCCGTGGCTACTGCGCCCCACCCAGTGCCAAAGCCCCACAATGAGAACTGTCACTTACGAGGAAGCCTCGCGGGCCCGAGTGGCCTCGCTCACCAGCCGCGCCCTGGAAGCACATTTGGGGGTCATTAGAGGCACACATCACAGAGCGGGGAGTGGGGTGGGGGCTGGCGGCCGGCCAGCGTGACCTTGGCCTGACGTACCTGCTGTCCAGGTTGGCCGGGTCTGCCCCGAGGTCCCACAGGGCCCTGCAGGAAGAGGAGCGCATACAGTGAGGGGGGTTCATGGGAGGACCCTTCCCCAGGAGGCACCCGCCTCACAGAGAGACCACAGTGTCCTCCCCTGTCCCCACTGTGTAGGCGGAAAAGCTAAGGCCCTGCAAAGGATAGGCTTTCCACAGCCATCAGGACCCCGTCCCACTGACAGGGACGTCAGATGGCCTCAGCTCAAGGAGCCTGGTGAGGCTGGGGCCCTGGGGTTCAGAGGCACTGGGATCCCCTCCGGCTGGCCCTCCCCTGCTTTCTCTTCTCTGGGCCTGCGGGGACAGGAGGACGACTGGCCTTGGGGATGGCCTAAGCCTCCCCCAGGACTCTCTGCTGCCCCTAGGGGTGGTGCTGGGGAAGGACAGGCCTCTGGCTTTGGTGCTGGAACCCCTGCCCTGTGTGTGTGTGGGGGGGGTAAAGGCAGGACACGGCTGGTACCTTCAGGCCCCTGGACCCCTGCTCCCCAGCGGGTCCATCCGGTCCTCTGGGACCCTGAAAAAGAAAGAAGGTTCTAGCACAGTGGACGGCAGGGGTCTCCTCAGGCTGGGAGCCAGGATGGCGGGGCTTCCTGGAGCCCAGGCCTTTCCTGCACAAGCCTGGGCTCTGCCTTGTGCCTTCCTGCACACTGCCACCTGAGCCACGTCACCCTTGGGTGTCAGCCGAGATGGCAGCGCAGACAGCATGGCCAGGGAGACTCAGCGAGAGGCCCCACCTTTCCAGACCTGGTGGGGGGTAACCCAGCTGACCCACTCCACACGTGGGACGGAGGATCAGACCAAGAACCACGAGGCCACGACCCACAGCCGGGTCTTCACACCCTGCGCCTCCCGAGCACACGCATGGCGGAAGCAGGCGTGCGGGGGAGACCGAGACGGACCCAGGGAGCCTGTGGCCAGATGTGTGAGCTGGGCCAGCTCACAGAGGGAGGACTGGCAGCAGGAGGGGGCAGGAGCAGGGCCACTGTCCTCTGGAGCCCTGGGCTCAGTCCTGACCCTGGAGACCGGATGGAGTCTCGGTGCCCTCAGGGGAGAGGTCCTGGGGGCAGGAGGAGTCCTGCTCTCATATGCACAGCTGGGAACACGGAGGCCAGGCTAAGGAAGCCCACCACCCAAGGCCCCTCAGCACATTAGCAACTGGTCTCTCCTTCAGGGTCCCCCATGGGCACTCCCACAGAGCCACAGTGGGATGGGGTCTCCTGGAAAAGGTCCCTGGGGAACAGATCAGTGTTTGTTCTGTGGGGGACAAAGGGTGTCAGGCAGAGGTGGCTGGAGGAGCAGCCTGGGACACTCCTCCAGACCCCAGGATGGGGAGTGTCTGGGTGGGGGAGGCCGAGGAATGGGGAGGAAAAGCCACTGACACACAGGAGGACAAAGTCAACCGAGAACTGAGACAGGAAAACTGTTGATCCACTTTATCAGCTGCCTGGCGCTCCCAAGGAGGGGGCCCTGAGGGGTCCTGGTGTAGCCTAGACCCTGCTGCCCTCTGCTCACCATAGGAGAGCAGGGAGAAAGTGGTGAACCGGTGACAATTGTGACACTAAGAAGCCACAGTAGCAGCAATAGAGAAAGCCGGGCCACGGTCTTACAGACGAGGAGCTGGGTCTGCGTGGAAGTGAAGTGGAAGTGAACGTGCTTGTGGCCCCAGGGCCACCAGGGAGAGCTGAAATTCGAACCCAAGTCAGCTGGAGCCCACGTCATGTCCTCCCCAGAATCCCTGTTGCTCAGTGGGGGGTGGGGTGGGGGGAGCGCCGTCATGGTGGGGGGCAGCTGGAGGAGCTGCGGGAGGCGCCTGTGGGAGGTGTGGGGGGGCCACGTCTGGGAGACCCTGCTGGGAGAGGCCAGGGCAAGGCCAAGGCCTGGCTCAGGGATGGGGCCAGTCTCGGGAGGGAGCAGGAGGCTCTCTCTGCTGCGGGTCTGGGTTTCTGGCAGAGCCTGCCCTCTCACATCCACGCCCCAGAGGCCGTGTCTGCAGCCCCGGCCTCCAGCCAGGCCTGGGTCGGACTGGGCGGGGGACCCTGGCCACCTTCAGCCCTCGTGAGGAACGCTAAAGGAGGAGTGGGAGACTTGAGGGAGACACGCGGGCTCCGCCTGCCGCACTGGGAGGCGCTGGCATGTTGGGGACATTCGTGAAAAGACAGAACCTCTGGGCCATGTCCCTGGGGGGGCCTCTGTGGCCACCTGTCTACAGAGGAAGAAACAGAGGCTCAGAGGGGGAGGCTATTGCCTGTGGTTCAAGAGAAGTTTCCGGAGACAAGCCACTGCCCACTCATGGCCACAGAGCGCGGTCCTGGCACCTGGATCTCGGGTCCTCGGCCCCTCTGAGCTGCACACCTGAGCAGGTGGACAAAGCCTACAGGAGCTTGGGAAACCTGCCTGAGGCCCCACATCCGGGAGGCGGGGAGGCTGAGCCCCTCTGACCCAGAACCCTCCTGCTTTCAGCTTCGGCTGGTGGGCACGGCCCGCAGCTCCCTGCCCAGAGCACAGGGTCCAGCCCCCACCGGCGGCCCCCACCCCTCAAGCTCCTTCTTCCCAGGGTGGGAGGAGGGTGGGCAGCAGGGGCCACCCTCCACGGGCAGGAGGGTAGGCAGGGTCTTGCTTCCCTCCCCGACCCAGTCCCCAGGGCACTATGGGGAGACTGAGGTCCAGAGAGCAGCGAGGCCTTGCAGGGGCCCGGGCAAACCAGGAGCTGGGCAGGCTGCCCAGAGGGAGCTCTTCCCCACCCCAGGGCCTCTCTGCCCCACCCTCAGTGACCTGGGGGAAGCGGCCCAGGGAGGCCTGCTGGGCAGGGCCTGGGGTGATCCCACAGGTTTTGCATTCCTGCCAAGCCCCCTGGGAGAGGGGCTCCATCCCATCTCTCCTCTCAGTCCTGGGAACTTTGATGTGGTCGGGAGCCTGGGTTTCCTCAAGCCAGAGAGAAATTCCTCAAGGCTCTGCTGGGAAGGGGTGGTGCAGACGCTGGGCAGCGGGGCGGGGAGCTGGCCGGGGGCGGAGCTGGGCCGTGGCAGCGGGAACCTGGCTGTCCATGGGCCTCTTCCCCTTGAAGACACCAGGGACACGGGCACTAGGAGGGGCCCTGTTGGCTGGAGGGCAGTGCCTCTTTATCTCCCCTCTCTCTCTGGGTCCAGCTGCTCAGGCCATCCCATCGGGTGCAGGGGAAGTTTCTAAACTAGTTGGAATCCAGCCAAGAGTGGACAGTGACCCTATCCCCTGCGTGGGGCTGGGTATCAGGCCCCGCTCCCCTTCCAGCTTGTTTCCTCTTCACAGCGAGGCTGAATGGCCTGGCACCTGCTCAACAGCTGGCAGAGGAGACCATTCTACCCACCCTCCCTGCACGATCAAGAAGGAGGCCAGTACAGGATGTAAGAGAGCCAAACTCCCTGGGTTCAAATCCCAGTTCCACCCTTTTCTAGCTGTGCAATATGAGGCAAGTGACTTAACCTCTCTGCACCTGTTTTCTCATGTGTAAAATGGCAATAAGACAGCACCTAGGAGCAGGTAGTGCTGAGGACTGGATGAGTGTCAGTGATTGCCCCAGGCCACTGTGCTCAGGCCAGCTCTTGTCTTCTGTGGCTCCCCACTACCTTGAGAGCACAGCTCTGACCTTTGAGCCCTGTCTAGCATGGTGCCTACTAAGTCCTGGCCCACCCCTCTGCCTGGAGCCCGGCACCAGCTCAGGCATCGCCCTCTCCCCGGCCTTCCTAGGTGCCCCGCCTGGCAAGGTGCCGCCTCAGGGCTCCCAAGGGGCCTGTGCCTCCACCCCGCACGTTCTGGTAACCCCACAATCCATCGCCCGGCTCTGCCAAGCCGTGTGCGTGGCCTGATGCCCTCCTGTTCCCAGTCTCTGGGGCCCCCGTGGTGGTTGGCACATTGCAGGTACCAGTCAAAGCGTGGCTGCAGGAAGGAGCGAGGAAATGAGCTGAAGGAAACTTGGAACCAGAGGCCAGCTGTGCCCACGGACGAGGCCCAGGGCCAGGGCAAGCCCGGGACCCTCCCTAGTCTGTTCAGAGCAGGGAACAGGGATGAGGCGGTGCCCTCCCAAGTGCTCCCTTCCCCAGTGTCTGCCCCAGGATCTGAGCCTCACTTACCCGGCGTCCCTTAGGGCCCCTCAGGCCTGGCGGGCCTCGCGATCCTGGAGGACCCTGTGGGGAGGAACACGGTTTAGAGAAGTCCTTCTCGGAGGTGAGAGCACTGGGGGGGGGGGGGGTAGGAGGCTGTAGCCTCCACCAGACACCATCGGGAACCTCCCTGCCTCCACCCAGTGGCTGCAAGCTGAAGGCAGGGTGCCAGCCCATTGGGAAAGGCAGCTGAGGGCCACAACCTCCGGCCTGGGCCAGTGCCCTGGGCCTTTCCACCATCCTGGTGGCGGGCAGGAGCCCATCTGGATGAGCCGTTCCCTTCTTGATTTCAAAATCAGCAATGACAGGCTGTCGTGACAGGTGTGACAAAGGTCTCTTTAACTTCTGTTCCCTTTCCTTTCCTCTCCTCAGCAGCCACCAAGTCCTGTCCCTCGTACCCCACCCAGACTGCAAATGTGCCGCTGAACAGGTTTCCCCTGGGCAGGAAGAGCCTCGAACCCGCCCAAGGAGGGCTGGGAGGCTGGGAGGCCAGGCAGGTGGGAGAGGACCAAGAAGGGGGGCAGGGCAAAGGGGAGGAGCAGAGGGAAGGGAGCAGGGAGGAGGTGGCACAGGGGAGGGGGCAGAGGAAAAGGGGCAGAGAGGAGGGGCAGAGGGCAGAGGGGAGGGGCAGCCCCAGCAGGACGCCCCCATTCTCCCAGCTGAGGAAGTGACAAGAAAAGCCAGGGGGACAGGAGAGGGCAAGGAAACTTGGGGGGTTTCATTCTCCGAATTCTCAGCACCAGGCCCTGCAGGGACATCTGCTGGGGCAGAGGAACCAGAGACTGAGGGATGCGGGCAGGGATGGAGCGGGCAGAGGCCCACAGGCCGCGACTGCATTCCCAGACAGCGGGAGCCCTCTGAGGGCTCCGGAGCCTCCCCTCAGCGTGATTCCCAAGGGGCTGGCTAGCTCCTCTTCCAAAGAGGGGACGGCCAGTGCCCCTGCAGGCCCCAGGGAGAAGCCAGCCCCCTAGGTACAAGAGGACAGCCGCAGCCACAGCACCCAGCAGACCTCTGACTGCAGCTGCAGGGTTCGGGGCTGTGGCTGCCCCCACTCAACCCTCGGCAGAGCCAGGGGGCCATGGTCCCCGACGTAGCCCAGGGCTGGCGGGAAAGACTGGGCCAGAGGAGCCCACTCTCCCGAGACAGGGGGCGCTCCCAGGAGGGCCGGCGGCTCCAGGCAGAAGCAGGAACCGAGTGCTGGGCAGACCCCCGTGGCACCGAGGGCCCATGCGATTCCCTCTGCCACTTGCCGGCCGCCTTCCTGAGCCGGTCATTTAAACTCAGGCCTCAGTGTCCTCCTCTGCAGGAGGGGGAGGGGAGTCCCTGCCTCCTGGCATCGCTGAGGACGGTCCTCAGTGAAAGGTAGCTATCCATTCTTGAGAGCAGAAGGTCAGATCTGGAGACTAGACCCAGCTGGGGTCACCAGGTCACCCTGGGCAGGTCCCAGGCCCTTCCCACCTGCCCCACCCCCAGTTATGAGGCTCAGACTTGACGGACTTCAATGGGCCGGAGCGGAGGTGGACACTGAAGGGACTGGAAACGCTGACCAGAGGGGAAGAGGAGCTGCCGAAACCTCTCTCTCATGGTGACAGTCTGAGAAACACCATTAAAGGGGCAACTGCCACATTCAACAAAATGTCACTGCCACTTGCTGAGCCCTTGGCAACAGCAGGAAGCTTGCTTAGCGCACACCACCCACGAGGCCGGGTGCTTGTCGCGGCTTCTCACACTGAGGTAAGATCACACTCCCTTGTGGAGGAGGAAGCCCGGGTTCAGAGAAGCTGTGAACATTGCCAGCAGCCACACAGCTGGGCAGGCGGGGAGCCGGGGTTGGGCTCCGTGTCTGCAGCGGAAGCAGGGTTTCTGGGTCCCTGTGCTCTAGGCACCTGGCTGGCCAGCAGGAGCCTCAAGAGACCCAAAGGACTAGTCCCACGCTGGGGCAGGGAAAGGTCAATGGCGACCCTGGCATCACGAAGTCTGGGCCACCCCACTGAACAGATGGACGCACTGAGGCCGGTGGGGAGAGAAGCGAGTGGAGCCGGGCGGAGATGCAGAGGAGGCCTGCACCTTCCCACCCCGCCACTGACCATCCACCTTGTCCCCGTGACTCCTAGCCAGGCTGCCCTCTGGTCCAGGCCCAGGGCACAGAAGGTGGATGACTCCTGGGCACCTTGCCCTTGGCCTTTGTCCCGTCCGGGGGGCCCCCATGCAGCTGGGCTCCATCCCTCCATCTCCAACACGGGGAGGACGACTGGAGTCCAAGCTGGCGCCTCAGCTGCCTGGTGAGCTGCACCCAGCAGAACGTTGGTCCTCTGACGCCCACCCGGAGTGAGACTCCCAAGAGCTGATCTAGTTCCTGCCGGTTGGCACCTGCAGGTGCGCCTACCTACGCCGGGCACAGCAGGTGCGTGGAAGAGCCAGGCACTGGCTGGCCTGGCTTGGCCTGCCGTGGCTCAAACCTCAGAGGCTGCCCGCCTTTGTCATGCGGCCCCAGGGAGCTCCCCAGTTTGCGGTCTGCAGAACCCTGGGCAGCCAGATCTCATCCTTCCTGGCTCTGTCCTAGGATGCAGGCCTGGGCAGGTCCCCTAGCCCATCCCAGTCACTGCAGGAACCCGACCTGGGAGCAGGCTCCCAGACCTGAGCCCTGACCTTGGCCAAAGCCAGCTTTGTCCCTCGGATTCCATCCTCATAAGCAGAGGGACCCAAGCAAAGATCACCTGCTCTAAATGAAAGCGGACCCCCCAGTGATCCTAGGGGAAGGGCCCCAGATCTAGGAGTTCCTGGCTCCCCCTCTCCCACAGCCTTCCCGTCTGCCCACCACCTCTGCCTTGGGGTCCTCAGGAGTACCCCAGCTTCCTCAGCAATCAGGACGTCGGGGCCCCCAAGGCCTGCATGTCACATGGTACTTCCCCAGTAGATGAGTGAATGGACAAAAGCAGTGATGGTGACCAAGCTGCTCCTGAGAGGCCACATCACTCCGTAGGGACACTAGCCCACAGTCTGTTTTAACCTGCAGAGTCACACGACCATGACCGTGGTTACTTCCTGGTTTTCAGATGAGCAAAACTTGGACTCAGAGAAATCCAAGGATCTGCCCCCGGGACATGGCCATGGAGGGCGGGGCTGACCCTCCAGCCCAGCTCTGTCCGATGTGAGGCCGGGACTCGGTGTGCTCACTAGACGGTGAGTTTGCACCCAGGAACAAGGGCTCTGCTCACCGGGGGTCCGGGCTCTCCGGGGGTCCCAACACCACCTGGCACTCCAGGGTGACCCTGTGGTGGAAGCAGAGGAAGAGAGGGGTCAGCTGTGGCCTGGGCCTGTCCCTCCTGCAGCCCTGCCTGGCTGGGCCTAGCCTGGGCCGGAGGGCAAAGACCAGGCCTCCTGGAGGGACAAGGAGCTGGTTGTCCTGAACGTCTTGGAGATGTGGCAGGTGGGGAAGGAGCAGGGGGTCACCCTAGGCTGCGACAGGAGAGGGCCAGAGGAGGCAGACTTACTCCTTACCATCACCCCCTTGGGTCCGGGTGCGCCTGGGGGTCCTATCACGCCTCGGTCACCCTGCAATGGAGACAGCAATGCAGAGAGGTCATAGCTGTGGCTGTGGGTGATTGTGGGGGCAGCTGCTGAGGGCCTCCCAGGGGCCCACAGAGGGGCAGGGACTTGGCCATTGTCTATAGAGTCCCTGCCCAGCTCATGGACATGTCATCCAGACGGGGAGCTGAGATTCCTTCGGTGGAAACCGAGACGAGTCCTGGGAGGCTGCGGCCTGCACAGCAGAGGACCATAGGGCTAGGATGGTGACGAAGGACACACCAATGACCAGCGCCTTCTCCCCCTGACCCTGACCACACTGTGTGGTCCTCATTAGGCCTGGCATCCCCTGGGCTGGGCTCACTAAGGCAGAAAGAGTCACAGAAAGCCTTCCCTCCACTCCGCTCACCCCCCCCAGGCCACACTGAGATGAGATACTGGAGGATCGGAGCTCACTCCCTCCGTCTCGCCCAATCCAGACTGAGGGGCTGCGAGGGCTGGGGCTGCAGGCACAGCCAGGGCGGGAAGGCAGGGCCTCTGAGCTCACACCCCGCCTCTGTTGATGCTCAGTCACACTTCTTGTCTCCACCCAGCCAGCAAGAATTTATTGAGCACCTACTGTATGCCCAACACTCTATGTCAGGCCCTGGATGTTCAATGAGGAGCAGAAACATACAGATTTCTCCCACCCACAAGGCAAGACACTCTGTGTGGCAGGGAGATGACAGGACCCTCCAGAAGAGGTGTGGCCTGGAGCACTTGCTGGGAGGGAAGTCACAGGGCCAGGTACCACCACGGGAGGTGGCCCAAGAGCTGTGGGTCAATAAGAGTTATCCAGGCTGAAAGGGCGGGGCAGGAGGGACAGGGAAGTGTACCTGGCCAAGGCACAGGCGTGTAGGTGAGGAGGGAGCGGAATGACTGTGCAATGGGAGAGCAGGAATTGGCTCTGGTGTCACAAGCTGGGTGTGAAAGCTGCCAGCCCTGCCGGACAGGGTTGGGGGCACATGGGACCTTTCTCTACTTTTAGATATTTTTTTTTCAATTTCTTGTAAATCGGTAATTATTTCAAAATAAAAAGTTCAATTTAAAGGAAGAGGAGGACAAGGAGGAAAGGAGCAGCAGCCAGCGTGTCGCAGACAGAGTGACAGAGGCCGGCACAGCGCGAGCCTGGAAGTTAGCTGGGGCCCGACGAGGGTGGACCTCATTTCCCCATCCATTCAGTGGGGACAATACTGGCTCTGCCAGGGCCTTGCTCTGGGGACCAGATAAGCTCAAAGGAAGGCCGTCTCCTGCAGGGGACGGATCGGACACGGGAAGGGGAGCCGCAGGCTGCTCTTGAGAAGCAGAGAGGCACAGTGGGCAGATGTGGCCTTGGATAATGAAGGCCCAGCTCTGCCTCTTACTACCTGGGGACGTCAAGCAAGTCACCTTCTCTGCTGGAGCCTGGGTCACCTCACCTGTGAGAGCTGCAGGGAGCTACCGAGGTGCCTGAGGGGAGGTTCCCCCTCATCTCTCTACAAGATGAAGCTCCCTCCGTCCATTGCCCACCGCAGAAAGTGCCTGCAGCCCAGGCCCCAGGCATCCCCTGGTGGTCACACAGAAAAGTCTAACTGTGCCCGTCGGTAATGACAGGGGCCCCAGGGGGTGCCGGGAAATGGGAGGCAGGCACTGGCAGGGCATTGAATGCCCAGTCCAGCGAGAGGCCAGCAGTGGTCTGAAAGCCCCAGGTCCACGCGCCCTTGGCCTTGTCCACCTCAAAACCCTCCCACTGATAGCTGATCGCCGGGCAGCACTTACCTTTTCTCCCACGATTCCTGGTTCCCCGACTAGACCGATGAATCCCAGAAGACCCTGGAGGGCGCGTTCATGAAAACAGAGGACACAACATGAAGGCGGAGTCGGCTGAGTTTCCAGGGAGACAGTCTGCACTTCCCCTCCTCTGGAGCTCAGGCCCCAGGTCCCCTGGTCCCCTGCCCAGGCACTCCAGCCCTCGTCCAGCCGGCTGGGGCCACAGAGGAGAGCGCTGTCTCCCTGGGCACGGTCCTCCCTTCCCTCGCTGCCAGATGGTTCTGATTTGGGAGCCAAGCGGGGCCGCTGCCAGCATCCCTGGGAGTGCCACACATTCTTCCCGCGCCAGAAGCAGGCTGGGAGGCGGCCACGTTTGGAGAGCTGGGGGCTGGTGGGGGGGCCTGGGCTGTTCTGGGAAGAGGCCATCTGTCCCCATCTTTGGGGGCTTTGGGGCTGTTTCAAAGAGAGAAACAAACCCGCTGGCTGCAATGGAAATACCGTAACAACATCTGCCAAGACCTGATTGGAATTTGGAACACGGAGGCCTCTCCGATCTTCTGAAAGGCTCCCTTATCCCCGCCTGAAAGGACACGCGTGTGCACGCACACACACACCGTGGTCCTCTGGCTCTTTTTAACTTCCCTGGGTGACAACTTGCCTCTATGTTCCAGGGACTCTTCTAGGTGGCTGCAGGCCCTGCTGTCACCCTAGAGGGCAAACGCTCATATGTCTAGGACAGGCGGACACCGGGGCAAGTCCCCCAGGAAGGCACCAGCTGCTCACTCAGGCCCACCCTCCCCTGCTAAGGAAAATGTGAGCAGAGGGCTCTTCTGTGGTTCAAGTGCAAACAGGGCTGTGTAAGAAGCCAGATTTGCAGCCAAGAGTTTCCAGGAGGATCAGGAAAGATAGCGGGGAATGGATTTGTCCCATGAAGACCTACGACCTGTCCCCCCAACTCTGGCCAGAGTGAGATCAGACTCAGAGCTGGTACTAGAGTGGAGGTCACATGCTCAGCAGGAAAGCCGGTCCACTGCCCCTGGGCCAGGTAAGAGGGTCACCTCTGAGACCCACACTTCCTTCCCCAGACGGTTCTAAAGTGGCAATTTCAGCCGGGAGTGTACATGTCTTGCTCTGCCACCTGGGGTTGACACTGTGGTCAGTATGACTCCAAATCCCATATGCCTTCCTCACGACCCCTAGGCCTCTGAAGCTCATGGCCATGAGGAGGGCCCGTCTCCCTGGGCTCCCTGGGGAGGGGGTTCCTGGGCAGGAAGGGAGAGGGATGCAGGATGAGGTCCCGACCTCCTGGGGTTGTTCTGAAAAGCCAAGATAATGCGTGGCACGTTTAGGTGCTCGATAAACGTAGCAATCTCCGTTCCCTCCTAGCTTATTTGAAAAGGACATGGGGCTGAGACAGTGGCCTGAGCTCCCCACCAGGGAGCACTTGAACATTTAGAAGAGGCCAAAGGAAGGGAATAAAATCTGCTCTGTTAAGAGGCCCTGGCCGACTGGCCCAGGGAGAGAGAAATTTCATAGCTACTTTAGATTTATGAGATGTTGGGACCTGGAGGGCAGGTGGGTCATAAACCCCCAGCAAGAAGCCAAACAGGATCCTAATGAATAAGGGCCATGCAGTGAGTGCCCCGTCCCTGCACCCACCCCTGGCACCCTGCTGGGCTTGTCCCAGAACATCCTGGCTGGCCTGCCCTGGGGAGGGAGCTAAGGCTGATCCAGCAGAGCCAGCGGCAGAGGCCCTGGCTTCCACCTGGCAGGCCGGGCGGAGAAGCAGCTCTGAAGGCCAGGGGAAGGGCCAGCTCCTTTGGGGCCATTAAGAGGGCACAGAGTAGGAGACAATGCTGTTACCTAGGTGGGTGCTGCACAGGCAGGACCTGAGCCCCCAGGGTGGAGGAGAAGTCTGGCCTGGTCCTCAGGCTGCCTGCTGATAGGGTGCCACTGTCTGCTTGGCTCTCTCCTGCCACATGACATTCTGCTAGGTGCCAGGGTGCAACAGAGAACAAGATAGCTGTGCACCCCCTGTGGGACACACAGCTCAGGGTGGGCAGGCATGGGCATGCTGGGCGATCAATGCAAGGGCTCAGGAAGTCAGAGAGTATCCAGCTCCTCCAGGACAGCCCCTGGGAACGCAGCAGGCGTCGGTGCCAGCCCGGGCTCTGACACCTTGGTCCCTGCTGTGATGTCTCCGACAAGTTATTTAACTTCTCAGAGCCTCAGTTTCCTCATTTGCAAAATGGGAATAATAATGCCGCCCATCATAGTGCTGTTGGGGGGCTGCAAAGGTGCCTAGGGCGTCCGGCACAGCATCTGGGAATTCACAGGTGACAATGAATGTCACTGTGATTATGAGGAGGGTACGTGCTGGGAGCTCTGGAGCCCTGTCCTGGGGACCCTCGGATTCTGCCATAGAGGAAATGCCTGCCCCTCGCCGTGGCCCTGAGGGGAGGGCCCTGGCATGCCTGTGGCCTCCAGCTCTGCCTTGGCTCAGGTAGCTTCTCCGTCGTGGTCCAAGCAGGCTGGACAGCCAGCTGGGACTGTCGCTGCCACGAGAGCCTGGGCTGCCCCAGGTAAGGCTCCACGCCTCCTGATCCTGGCTACTATCCCTCGTGGTCAACTTGGTGGAGACGACTTCTCTTCCATGAACCCTAGATTGTCAACATGGCCAAAATCCAGGAGTTCTTAACCAGGGGTCCCTGCGAGGGTCTCTGAATAGAATTCAGAGGGTCCACAAACTCGAACAGAAAACATGACAGCTTTATATTCATGAACCTCTAACGAGAACTCAGCATTTCCTTTGAATAGAGGAAAACCAAACCCAGTCGGTTCCTAGACCCAAGACTGTCCCAGATAGTTCCTCTCATCCCACAGTCACTGTGCGGAAACCTTGAAATCTACCGAGAAGCTTGTCACTACTCCAAAATTGAGGTCATTCCTAGACTGGCTCTAGATCTTGCTATTGAATGCCCTGATCAGGAACGGTGGACAGGAGGACAGACTCCCATGACTATTTCCATATAATTGGTTTCCTTCGCATCCTTTGTTCTTGATGTGATGCATTTAAAAACCAGTCTGAGAAGCGGGTGCCGGGCCGAGGCTCATCAGCCTGGCAAAGGAATCCAAAGCATTTGGACCCAGTGATTTCCAGGGACCCTTTGAGTCCTGCTGTTCTAGGATTCTGGGTATCTATTTCCCAGGGGCCCTCCATTAGCATAACTATGAAATTGAATTTGTGATCATGTTGCCTTTCTTTCTTTCTTTTTTTTCCAATCAGGAAATACATCCAGGCTGAGGCAGCCTTTCCAAACTCCCGGGCTTCCCACAGAATGTGCTCGAATGACACTGGAAAGATTTCAAAAATCCAGGCCTCCCCTGGCTTCAATCCCTTTCTTCCCCACCAACAGATGGTGCAGGCTAGTGAGGAGGCCACAGTGTGGGACTCTCACGCCACTAAGGGTGCCTCTCAGCGCAACCGTGCCCTTCTGGGTCCCCAGCATCGTGCCCCTGGCCCTGCTGAGGAAGCCCGTCCAGGGTCCTCAAGGAGGGGTCCTTGTGTGAAGGCCTGAAGGAGATGGCCACCTCTGAGCCCAGAGAAGCTGGAGGCAGGCGCCAGGGCTGGGCAGGAGGGATGGAGGCCGGTCCACTGGCCGCGGGGCTGCTCCCCTCCACTGTGACAGCTGAGGGTGGTGAGCCACAACTGCTCTCTTAATGACTAGTCGCAGCCACCTCTCTCCCGCAGACCTTGGCCTGGCTTCCCGGCTAGCCGGCCGCTGGTTTGCATGTTGTCCTCTATAATTTGGGGGATGCCCGGGCCACGAGCCCTGGACTGGTTGCCCTTCTCTGGCCTAGGCCTCCTGACCTGTGACCCGGGAAGGGGAAGCATGTGAGATGGCTCAGGGCCCCTCCAGCTCTAGCTCCAGTTCTGGAAACGAGTCACGTAACACGTTTGAGCAGATGCACCCAAACCATCCGTGCAGAGCCAGGCCTGGGGTGACCTCCTCCTCCAGAGACTTCCCGAGAGCCACTGTCCGCGGCCGCCGAAGTGAGAGAGAGTAGAACCGGGGCCGGCCCCGTTCTGAGAATCCCAGATGGGGAGCTTACATACAGCAGGTGCCCATCAACTGCGTTCAGAGGCACCGATCGCTTACCTGCTCACCCACGGGCCCTGGCCGCCCGGGATCCCCTGGCTCCCCCTGCAAAGACACGGAGGAGAGATGGGAATGCAAGATGGAGTCCGGGCCTCCCGAGGAATCCCCCAGGCCCTCCCTGGGCCACGGGCCTAGTGGCCACTGGTACCAGGCCAGTTCCAGGTTCCAGGTTGACAGCCTGTCACGGCCACGCCTGGCCGCTCTGGGTGGGTGGCCCCTGCTCCACAGGTGGCCGTGGCTGCCCTGGTCTTCCCATTGTAGAGCTAGGGAGGCGACAGACCCGTGGGGTAAATCCCCCCCGGACAGCGTTGCCTCCACCACAGAAACCCAACCTCTATCTGAGGGACAGCAGCGGGACCTCAGAGGGCAGGACGTGGGTGTGGACTGGCAGAGTTTGGCTGGGAAACGGACGTGGCCTGTGGCCTCCCATGCAGCCTCATCTCCCCTCGGCTCCTCCCCGGGACCACATGTTCACGAGAACCAGAAAGGGCCCGGGGAGGACCTGGGCCAAGCTCCTGAAGGGAGGCGGTCACCGGCCACCTGGGCTCCCCTGGCTCTGTCTGCCCTCCTGAAAACCTGGCCCAGCAACCTCTTGCCCAGAATAGCTGAGAACATCTAAGCCCACAGCATCCTCATCAATGACACTGCCCCCTCCCGGGGGCCTGGAAACCCACCAAGGGGGTGGTCGGTCTCTTCCCCTGGGCCAGTTCTTTTTTATAGTAACTTTTTAGGAATTCTGTTAACAAAGGTAACCCATATTTATTGCACACAAGGGGGAAATAGGAAGCACAGAGAAGAATATGGAAATCCCCTCTTCTCCCATCACTCAGAGATGACCAGTCTGTTTTCTAGTGTCTGCTTTGTGTATGAAGGAAGAAGGGGCCACCCAGCACCTGCGATAGGCTCGTGCCTAACACTGGTTTTATAATCTGGTCCCCATCACTATCCCACCACCCTACACACGGGCATCTTCCAAACACCATGGTGGGTAGCTGTACTACATTCCATTACGTGAACAATCCCCCTCTGTTGGACATTTAGGTTAGTTCTCCCCCCTCCGCCCGTTACCAATACTTTGTTATAAATGAGGGCCAATTTTTTTCTCTTTTTTTCCAACTGGCCATGGGATTTGGGGCTTATCCTGGGGCCTTCAAATGTGGGACCCCCCACTTTCATCCCAGGTCCCCTCACCTTCACGCCATCTGGGCCAGGCCTCCCCGGAAATCCTTTCCTGCCAGGTTGACCCTGCAACAGAGAGAGTGAGTGAGAGGCCGGGAGGGGCAGCACTGCTGGGTCCTGGGCAACTCTGAGGACATGGCCCAGGGTCCTCCCATGGGCTGGGAGGGCCAAAGTATCCTGGGAGGTGATGTGAGCCCATGTCCCGCGACACAGGGGCCTCCAGCCGGGTGGTCTCGGAGCCTCCTCACTCCCTGGTCCCCTTGCTTGTCAGGAGGAATGGTGACAACTGCTTCCAACCACATGAGGTCCCAGGGTGGTGGGGGGAGTTATTTAGTGGCCAGAGGATACTGCGGGTCCCCAAGGCCCTCCCAAGAGTGTCGAGAGCTCAAAACTACTTTCCTAAAACTAAGGTGCAGTCTGCCCCCAAGTGTGAGGGGCGCCTTCTGGGGCGTGTGACGGGTGTTCTCAGGAGCAGGCCACAGGCAGGGCGGACCTGAGAGTCCACGTCTGTTAAGCCAGACGTTAAAGAGATTTGCAAAAATGGCAAAACCAGGGTACTTTTCCACTCAATTGTCTTGTTTTGTAAAATAGAGTGATTTTTGGTTTAAAAAAAAAACACAGTGTTTACATGCAGTGAGCTTATTATTAATTTAATACATTTAAAGTATCTTGATTTAATTACTAATATGATTTTTATTACTAATATTTAATTACTAATTGTGATGTAACCCACACAAACAAAAGCTCTTTGGGTCCTCTTTGTTTTTTTTTTTTTTTTTGTTGTTGTTGTTTTTTTAATACCAGGGGTTAAACCCAGGGGCACTAGACCACTGAGCCACATCCCCAGCCCCATTTTGTGTTTTATTTAGAGCCAGGGTCTCACTGAGTTCTTAGAGCCTCGCTGTTGCTGAGGCTGGCTTTGAACTCCAGATCCTCCTGCCTCGGCCTCTAGAGCCACTGGGGTTATAGGTGTCCGCCACCGCGCCTGGCTGGTCTTCTCCTTTTTGACCCACTGCTGGGAGGAAGGCAGTGGGTCAGGCGGCCCCTGGAAAGCCGCTCAGAGGGTGCAGAGGACTCAGGCTCAGCGTACCCCACCTCTTGGGGTACTTTGGCCCTCCCCAGCCCATGGGGAAGACCCTGGGCCACGTCTTCAGAGTTGCAGCCTGGGCTGAGATCCCGGCTAACTTCCACCCTTCCGCCAACCACCTCTCTCCTCGGTGCCCGGTGCTCCCTCTCCAGGCCCAGGGCCCTCGCGGCTGACTGCTCTCTGCCTGTTCACAGCTGGTTCTGTCCCAGTGACTCCACTCCCTCCCTCAGGCAGGTGACACTCACCTCCAGGCCAGGGGCTCCTGGTGGCCCCATGGGTCCCTCATCTCCCTGGAGTTGGAGACAGGAAAAAGAAGAAAGGTCACTGGGCGGGTCTCTCGAGAACTCCCTCTAAGCAGAGAAAGAGGTGGACGGAGAAGGACCTCCTGGACATATGAACTGGTCCTGGCCCAGAGGACAGGTCACACGCTCGGGCCACTGGCCCTGAGAGCAGAGCCCCAGACTGTGGCTCAAAGACACGACTCTACTCTGACTCCACTGGCTGGCCGGCAGCCTCTGGGCCTCAGTCTCCCCGGTGTGGACAGTCCTTGGAAAGCCATAAGTGCCTTCAGCTGGGTCCTGGGTGAAGGGACAGTGATGACGCCTGTTCCTTCCTGAAGGCCCAGGGCCAGGTCCAGCGGGTGTTTGGTAACAAAGGAGGCCGTGAATGGGCTCTGGAGCGGTGAGCAGAAGGCAGGCAGGAGGGCAGGAGGGTTTTCCGAGGCGACAGGAGTGCAGACAGGAGCACGTGGCGGGGGCCGTCCCTCCTTCCTCTCCCTCCTACCGGCTGCTGGCTCCCAGGACTCCCCAGCCCTCTGGCGGCCCACGGAGCCTCCAAACTTGTCCCCTCTGGCAGGCCAGGCCCGACCAAGGGGCACCCCCAAGCTTCCAGGAAAGCAGCCTCACGTGGCGGCTCCCGGAGCCAGCGCTGGGGCCCTGCCAGGCCCAGAACCCGCAGGAGAAGGGACGGAGTCAGTGCGGCCTGCCTGTGGTCGGTCCTGGGAGCCTTGCCTGCCATGCCACAAGCCCAGGCCACGTGTCACTGGGCTCAGGAGAGCCTCACACATGGGCCAAACCAAGAGGCCCCTGGAGACCCTTCTCGCCCCCCATGTGAGCGCACGAGAATGAGCAGATCCTCCCCCGCTACTACGGAGGCCACTAGTAAGTGCTCTGGCCACTCCCGGGAGCAGACGGTGACAGATGGGTGGCATGAAACCCGAGGCTAATGGAGACCTGAGCTCCTGTCAAGGCCCTGCCTGCCACCAACCAGGGACCTGCAGACTCTGCCTCTCCGCGTCCTGGGCCTCATCTGTAAATGGGGCTGACAATCCCCTCCCTCCTGGACAGATGTCCCGACACGCTGCTGTGTGACGTGAGCTGACCAGAAGCTTGGTGGGGGGCAGGGGGGACGCCATGGCAGTGAGGGAGGGGGCAGCAGAGATGGGGGAGACCCCTCCTGCCAGGCCAGGGCATTTGCGGTCCCTGGGTGGGCCACAGGGGCAGGGGTACACAGGACAAGGTGGATGTGCCGGGGTGGCCCAGGGCCGCAGACAGGCCAGAGAGGGCAGTGGGGGACAGGCGCGTCTCACCTCGGGCCCCAGCTGTCCTCGGGGTCCGGGCAGGCCTCGCGCTCCAGGCTTCCCCTGAGAGGAGGGAACAACAGGGTCTCAGAGGGCGTCCTCTGCCTCCTGGGCGGGGGCTGCTCCGGGCAGGAACTCACCTTCTCGCCTTCGGGGCCATTGTCCCCAGGGGGGCCGATGTCTCCTGGGAATCCCTGAGGGGAAGCAGAGGCTGGGGTCACCGGGGCCCTGCAGGAAAGGGCTGGGGCGGCCCGCAGGAGCTAACCTGGGTGGGCACCCGGCTGCAGCGGCGGAGGCGCCCCATGTGCACTCCTCAATCCTAGACAGGGACGGGCACCCCGCCCTGCAGCTCAGCGGCTAAGGAAAGGCGCGAGAGGGTGCAGGAGGCCACACCTGAGCTGGTCCCACCCAGAAGTCCCAAGTCCCGCGAAGTTACTGGGACAGAGGTTTGGGGTCTGGGACCTTGCTCCCGCCAGCCACCAGCCTGGGATGCCCTGCCATGAGCTGCAGCCCCTGCCGTGCCACTGTCCTCCTGGTTTGCTGGGACACGCTGAAGTAACTAACCGCAGCGCCTCTGTCAGGGGCTGAGATCCCAGTGACATCCCAGCCAGGCCTGTGGGACTTGGCCCTGCGCCACCTACCATGCCCCACGGTCCCCCTGATGCAGCCTGCCCCGGGGGTAGGGGAATAGCCTCTGTCCCCCTCAGCACCTCCGGTGGCCACTTGGGGTCCCAGAGGCACAGGGTCCCTCCCGCGGTCAGTGCTCTCTGTATAATTTGGAGACCAGTTCCCCTGTCCCCAAAGGTGGGTCCTTCTCTGTGTCTTCAATGGCTGCTAGTCAGGGGCCCAGGGCCCTCAACCTGGCTCTCTCCAGTTGACTGGTTTCCATTGCTGGTGACCACCAGGACACCCACGCTTCTTTTGGGGTGGGCTGAAGAACAAGCGCCAGTACAGAAACATCCCCTTCCTTGTTTTAGGTGTGATGCCTCTGTTAATTCAGCCAGGAACCCCATTAGCTTTTAGGGCAGCCCCACTACCTCAGTCTCCTGCCAGCTAAAAACCAAAATTTACGAGTTTCTTCGACCAAAATGTTTCCTTTTCACTTTGCCTTCGTAAGTTGGCTAGATTTTTTTTCTTTCTCTTTTAACCTTTTAGTAACTTTTATACAATTCTGGTTCAAATACCTTCTTACCCTGCTTACAGGCAAAGCAAGAACAGTCCTGAATTTGGAGCTAACCCTGAAGCCAAAACTCCATGTGTTTTCCTTCATAATGAAAAGATCAAAATCTTGCCCTTCTGCTCACTCACTGTGTGACTGCAGGAAAGTTCCTTAGCTTCTCTCTCTGGACCTTGGATTCCTGATCTGTAACACACACCTTACAGGCAGGGCTGTACTGAGGCTTAAGTGAACAACACAGGCAAAGCACTGAGTTTGGTGCCCAGCACTAGTAAGTGCTCAATAAAAAAAAAAATATCTACATCCACAATGATTTTGAGTCCTTTGTGCTGGGCAAACAAGTCTACCCAGGTGGCCCAGGACCAAGAAGAATTTGGCAGCAGGATGCTGGTTAAATTCTGGTACTCACTCACATCCGGCCCAGGATGAGCGAGGGAGACATTCCCCTGGGTGCTGGACAGCGGGGACAGTGGCCCTCTCAGCTGTCTCCTGACTCAGCCAGCTCCTGCCTTCAGCCCAGCAGAGGCACCTCCTGGCTATGGAGTCGCCAATCACGGCAGCGCCAAGGTGGTGGGGGGGCTGTCTGTCCAGGGCCCGGGACACCGTCAGAGCGACCTGAACCACCCTGCGTGGAGTGGCCCTGGGGAAGTCCGTGCCCTGCCCTGGGACTCGGTTTGTCTGCGAATGAGGTAGCGGCCTCCCCTCCCCTGCCCCTCTCGGGGGCACTTTACTTCATCCTAGGACCCCGCAGCCTGCTGGCCGCAGGAGGGGCCTCATAAACCCGAGGGCGCAGGCCTTCCACCCTGGCTGGCCAGGCTGCTGGGAATCCCGGACTCAGAAGTCTTTTTCCACAGTGACCAGCGGAGGGACTCGGGGCCAACTTCATTGTCTAAAGATAGGGCTGCGTCGCGGCCAAAGTCAACAAGTGGAAAGTCAGACTGTGGATTTAGGAAACCTTCCCTGTCTGTCCAGGGATTCCAGAAGTGATCTTTGGAAAGGCCTGGAGGACCGCAGGGCCACTCTCCCCTGGATGCAGAGGCAGCACGGATGGCCGAGCCCGGGGCTCTGGGTGCACGGTGGGGGGGCCTGTCGGGTGGCCTGGGTGCAGATGACCCTGACACAGACAATGGCCTGGCCCCAGGAACGTGCAGGGGTTGAAGAGGTCGGCCTGCTCGTGACAGTCCACCACAGGCGGACTGTCCACCTGGACCCCAGAGCCACCTGAGGAAGGACTCGGAGGCCAGCTCCTTGTCCTGGGTGTTTTGAGAGCCCAGGACAGGAGAGCTGTGATCCGGGAATCGCTGTGCTCTGCTTCATCGCCCATATGCTACGTGACCTGGAGCACGTCCCCCCCACACCCCCGGGCCTCAGTTTCCCCAGGACAACACCCAGTCCAGCTGCAGCCAGAGACAGAGCAACACGTACCTCAGGTCCAGGGGGCCCAGGGAACCCCAGGGAGCCTTTGTCTCCGACTCTGCCCTGTGGAAGAGAAGAGATTGGGGAGTGGCGCTCACGAGGTCCCTGCATCATCTCCTGGAGTGGTGGGTGGTCAGAACGTTCTGGAGCATATACGCATGAAATCACCTGAGCCGGTCCTCAAGTCCCGACTCCCACACTCTCCAGCAGGGGGACCCCAGGCGAACGACCTCAGAACCCCAGTCTCCCCATCTTTATATAATGGGGACAGTAACCCTAACTCCTGGCGATTGGCGGCCCTCAAAGAAACAGTGGTACAAAGGGCCTGATGGTGGCACAGTTAGTGACACCGCTGTGACAAGTGACATCACTATAGTAGCCCACAGTGAACGAGGCCATCTGTGATGTGGGTGACCACTGCACCTTGAGATCGGTGTCTGCATCAGGGAAATGGGCAAATGGCCCTGCCCTGTCCATCTGTGCCTGCAGGAGGACGGGAGGCCCTGATGGGAAGGCACCCCAGCCACATCCCATGACAGAGGTGACGCCCAGGTGGAGGGGTGCTGGGAGAAGGTACTCACCAGAGGGCCTGGCTTGCCCCGGGCGCCCGGGAACCCTGGCGACCCCTGGCTGCCCTGGAAAAGAGTGGGCAGGCTGGGTTAGCGCCCACCAGAGAGGCCGAGAACAGCTGCCCGTCCCCCTCCAGCCCGGGCTGGACAAGGCCCTCGTGGAGAGGGCAGGACCTTTCTTTCTACTCAGGGACCACACCTGTCTGCACCCCTGGAGGCTGGGCCCTAGTGCCAGGGTGAAAGGGCAGCCTGTCCTCCCAGGACCCTAGGAGCCCTGGAGGCCCATGGACCCTGCCAGAAGCAGCAGCCACCCCAGGGGGACACTAAGGCAGCTCAGGATGGCCAGCCAGGAGGGACGGCTGCAGAGGTGGAGGGAGAGCTGGCCAACATCTGGGCCTGGTGGACTGGCTGGCAGAGGTCCAGCTGTGGCCCAGGGTGTCGACGTGGGCAGACGGGGGCTGGTGTCCTCAGGCCACAGCTGGCTCTGCAGGCAGGGCCATCCTGGTGGTGATGACCACGCCCCCCACTCAATGGGTCAGCAAGGCCACTCACACACAGTCCTGAATGTCCACTGGGAAGTGCGGCCCTGAGGAGAGCTCAGAGCAGCCCAGGGCCCTGTGGGGGAACTCACTGTCGGGGACAGGGGTGCCTGCCCACAAGTCTCCATGGTGTCAGAACTGAAGGACAGATGTGCTGTCCAGGGCTCCCAGGGAGGGAAACGGCCACTTTCCGAGCAGATAGACAGCGTGGCCTCTGAGCAGGTGGTGCGGAGAGGCAGTGGGGGCAGGGGCAGGTGGGCAGCAGAGTGGACAAAGGGCCTGAGGCACAGCTGGCAGTTCACAGGGCGGGAGCCCAGGGCCACAGTGGGGAGGGCCCTGGGCTGGGCTCCTGCGTGGCTGGGTGGGGAGTCGGGAGGTCTGTGAGCACAGACCAGAGCTGTCCTTGGGGGCAATGTAGGAGGTGAGACTGGGAGGGCAGGGGCTGGGGAGGACAGACAGGGCTGTATGACAGAGCCGTCCCAGGTGGTCCTGCCCACGCTGGGCTCTGGGAAGGAAGCCAGGCCAGGGGACAGGTGGGGCAGGGGTGCAGAGGGGGGCGGGACAGGGGTGCGGGGCGGGGAGTTCCCGAAGCAGTTACCTTGTCTCCTTGGAAGCCGGGATCTCCGGACACACCTGGGACCCCTTGCTCGCCCTGAGTACACACCAGCAAAGCAGATTGTGAGCGGGGCCATGCGGACCCCAGAAGTCTCCCCGACGGCCAGGCCCACTGGTGAGGGACAGCCCTGTGGAGGCCGATCTCAAGTGGGACCTGGCCAGTCAGCCTTGCTGGACGGGCCACCGGAGTGGAGAAGGCAGCCCCGGGGTGGGGGGGGACGAGCCAGCTGGGTGCAGACCAGCTTCAGCTCTCCCTCCTGGGGCTGGGGGCCCCGCTGCCGGTCACCTGGCCTTTTGTGGCGAACCTGCACTTCAAAGATCCTTCCTCAACCTTCCCCCTCTTCCTCCATACCGACACTGTGCATGTGGTGAGGGAACCGGGGGAGGTCCTCACGGGGGCTTCTGAGCGGGGCGTCTGCTGTTTGATCACTCACTACGGCTGGAAGCTGTCACTCCCTCCCTCTGGGCCAGCAGCCAGACCTTCTTCTAATTAGCTGCTTCTAATCAGCTACAGCATGAGAAAGCAGGTGGCCTGACTCGGAAGACTGTGGACACCAAGTGGCGCTCCTGCCTGAGGTCCGGCTGCTCCTTGGTAGGATGATGCACTGCACGGCCGGGGACAGGGACCCTGGCCAGGGGAGGCCTTCTCTGCCCCCTCCCTGGACCAGCCAGGTTCTAGTAAATGAGCTGTCACAGGCCGGGTCCAGCGGTCCTGCCTCTGGGAGCTGGAAACTGGTCCCAGCTCTCCACGCTGGGCATCACCCACCGCCCGCCGGCCCCAGGACTAAGAGAACGTCCAGTCCTGGGAGGAGGAGGAGGAATGGGGGGATCTGAGCAAACCTGCCTTGTACAGGAGGCCAGGACCCAGCAGGACTTCCCTGGCAGAACAAAGGCCAGAACTGAACATAAAAACCATTTTTCTTGAACTTACTTTGGTTTTTCCAATTTGGAAAATCCTGTACGACATCTTGGGGTTTTGAGAACCAAGGGACATTTTATCATTATTATTATTTTTAAGTTTCAAGTTAGAGTGAGGGAGTTCCTTTAAAAAATTAGAATAGAGGAGGCAGGTTTAAAAGGAGCCTGGGAAATCAGGACAATGGCTTTAGAGAGCTGGGTCCCTGGCAGGGCCACGGTTCCAGAATGTGCTTCCGCTGGCAGCAGGAGCCAAGGGGCTGTGAGAGGCCCCAGGCCAGGCTGGGTCATGGAAAATCCGGGATTCTGGAAAGGAGGATCCACAGGACTTGAAGGGACGGCTTTGTCATCCCAGAAGAGGGCTGGGGGCCGGTCTGTGTGAGTGGCTGATCGGAGACCCCTCCCCACTAAAGAGACTGAAAGAGAGTCCCCTCTACCCCCCTCACAAAGACTTTCCTAAAAACTATGGGCAATAAACATGATTTCCTCTCCTCCCCCTCTGTTCTTTCTTTCCCAGAGCTTAGCGGGTCTGAGTGACCAGGCGGCCTCGAAGCAGCCCAGCTCCTTTGCTTGACGCTTTTATTTCCATGTTCCAGGGCAACTCCGAGCCCAAGCCACTCTGCAAAGGACCTATAAAAAGCTCCCTGTGCCCCCCACTTCCCCCGCAGCCCCTCTCCTTGACCATGACTTCAGCTTTTCCACAGCAGAGGTGTCTCCCCCTCAGACAGGTTGGTAAGGGGAGCCCACACCCACCCCTACAGAGGGAGGCCCCGAGGGAGGCTCAGCAGGCAGCAGGCAGCAGGCAGCGGCAGGCAGAGGGGACCCCCAGAGGCTTGGGAGGGAGGGAGGCGGAAACGGCAAGGCGTGGGCTCGCTGGCCCGGCAAGGGGCGGCTACCCGGGGCTGGGGCTGCACAGAACAATCCCATGTGTCCATTTTGCCCAGAAATTCTAATTTTGGGGATCAGAGGGCCTGGGTTGGCTCCCAGGAGAGCACACGCTTCCTCTGATGAATCTCTTCCCCACTCTGGGTCTCAGTGTCCCCAGCTGTGACATTGAGGCCCCAGATCAGGTGACCTCCCAGGGCTTCATCTGCTCTGTCCTTCTGACCTCTGTTCTGCTGGGTGGTGGAGGTTTCTGGGCCAGGTGCCCTTTGAGCCCTGATTCCCTACTTAGCAGCAGGGTGGCCTCGGGCAGGTCCCTCGTCACCTGGGGCTGGAAGAGGAAGGGGTGATCCCTCTGGAGCATTCCTGGGTGCCTGGCATAGGACACCTGCTCCTTGGCCTCAGGTGAGGCGGCCCCTGAAGACAGGTGGGCAGGGAGGCTGGACGCAGGAGCCAGAGCAGCAGCGCACCCCTCGGATCCCGCCACGTCCTCTGCGGGCTCCAGGATGGACCAGAGACTGCGGGGGAGGGCGGGGCTGCTCCTACCTGGCCTGTCACTGCAGTGCTGCTGACCCAAGCCAGCTGCGGCCCCTTGGCGGACTCCAAGACCCATCTCCCCCTTCAGCTCTGGTGTGGCACCAGGTGACGTTGCTAGAGTCCTACAGCCACAGAGAGGCCACGTGGCCGGGGGCCTTCCTGGGTGGGGGCAGCTGGAGAAGCAGGTGGCGGCCCAGGCTGCCCGGGTTCCCCTGCATTTCAGATGGCGCGCTCTCTGGGCAGGGCTCCCAGGCCCATGCCAGGACACCTCATGTGCCCTTGGTTCCTTCCAGGTCACCGCCGCCCTCCGTGCTCTGTGGCTGTGCCCTCCAAGCCCCTGTGCCACCCCTGCTTGGCACTCCGGGTTCTGAGAGCTGCTGGCTAAGCCCCGGGCCCCCAACCTCTCACGTCCTCTCTGCCGAGGTCTGCAGGCCCCCGAGGGTCAGCTGGAGCCCCACCCACAGGGACCAGAAGAAGCTGGGAGCCCAGACTCCGGGGACAGAGGGAGGCGGGAGAGCGCAGGGCAGTGGACCTGGCCAGAGCTGAGCGGCAGCCTCCGGGCGGAGGGGCGGCATGCAGATAACCCACGGTGCGACAAGGGAGTATTCCGATCACCTTATCACCTTTCAGTCCGGGCTCCCCCACGCTGCCCATCAGTCCCTGCAAGACAAAGGCCAGAGGCCGCTGTGAGGCCCGAGCCACAGAAGCAGGAGCTGGCTGGCTTCAACCAGGACCCTGTGTTGTAAGACCTAGCTCGCTCCCCAAGCCTGGGCTCACTGTCCCCGACTGCAAAAGGAGGAGACAACCCCATCTTGACGGGCAAGGAGGGGAGGAGCAGCTGGCAGAGGTGACACCGGGGACAAGCCCAGAGGAGGAAGGTGCCGATGCCGTGGAAACAGGCCAAACTGGGCTGGCCTGGCGCTGGCCCGTCCTCGTGTCCCCTTCTGGTCAGGGCTCACTGTTCCCCATTATAGTTCCTATGGTCCTGGCGATGACCCCCAAGCCCGGAACCATGCTGGACACGTGCTCAGCTAGAGGGCTGGTGTCCAATAAAGACATCTGGCTTAAATGACATACAGATGACATCTGGCTCTCCAGCCAGGGCGGAGCTGAGCTCCGGATCAATCAGCTGCTGTCCAGCACCCACAGGGCGCCCTCCCGCCTGCTTCCCAGCATCCCCTGGGGCACCCGCCCTTCTGGTGCAATGAGACCTGAACTGGGGGAAGCCCTTGTTTACCTTCATGCCCTTGGGTCCTGGGTAGCCGATGGGACCCAATGCTCCCATGTCACCCTGGGAAGAGAAAGAGGCAGCTATGAGAGGTGGCCCTGGGAGGCTGGCTGCGAGGGCGATGCCCGGGGTCCCCGGGGCTGGGCTCTCCAGGATGCAACTCCCTTGGGTTGATCTTGAGATTAGGAACATCTGTCCTTCTGTTCGCTTCCGCTAAAGTGCTGGAATAAATGTCACAGGATCCTGTCCAGGCCCAGGTCATGCTCTGCCCTCCGCCAGCACTTCCCATAGGCTGTCTGCTGGTCCACTCCCCGCTGGCCCTGGGCAGCTTGTGCTAGAGAGGCCAGGATGCTGCTGGGTGTCCTGCAAGGCACAGGTCAGTCCCCACCACAAAGAATTATCCAGCCAGGTGGGGTGGCGCATGCCTGTCATCCCAGCACCTCGGGAGGCTGAGGCAGGAGGATCGCGAGTTCAAAGCCAGCCTCAGCAATGGCGAGGCACTAAGCAACTCAGTGAGACCCTGTCTCTAAATGAAATACAAAACAGGGCTGGGGATGCCGCTCAGTGGTCGAGTGCCCCCAAGTTCAATCCCTGGTACCCCCACCCCTCAATAAAGAATTATCCAGCCCCAGTGTCAACAGTTCTGAGGTCAGGGCTGGGGGTGTGGCTCAGCATACAGGTCTCACCCAACATGTGGGAGGCCCTGGGTTCAATCCCTGGGGGGGGGGGGGGGAGAGAAACAGTGGGAGAGAGAGAGTTTTGAGTGAAATGGCAGAATTTTGTCTGAATAAGCCTCCCCCCTTTCCTCAAATCTCACCCTGCCCACCCCCTTCACAACCACCATCAGGCAGAGCCATATATTAAGCCCATGCCCAAAGAAAGGAGCCCCTAAAACTTTGGTCTTCTCTCCCTGTCCATCCTCTGTGACCGACCTAAGTGTCCAGCTGCTGTGTGACCTCAAACAATACTTAACCTCTCTGGGCCTCAGTTTCCCACTGAAGAGATTCAGGCTCTTTGGAGGCCCCTGGCAAGTGCCCTGAAGCTGAGGCGCAGCACAAAGGCTGCCCCAGGCAGCCAGGCTTAAACAGGACTCAAGTTCCTGCTGAGCTGCTGCCTGAAGACCTCCGGGAGGGTGGGAGGCCAAGCAGGAGGCCAGGTGGGAGGCGGGAGGGAGGCTGGGTAGAGGACGAGGAACCACATTCCTGCCTGACTCCCGCAGAAGGGCCGAGGCCCATGCAGGGCAATGCTCTAAGAGGGAGACAGTGCCAATCTCCTGTCCCCAGAACACTGCAGCCTGGCCTCGGCCCTGCCCTGGGCTGGCTGTGTGGCCTGCTGCCCTCACTGGCCTGCAGGACTCTGGCTTCGCTGTGTTCAGCAAAACCTACTCGCTGAGCCCCTGCTAACTGAGGAGTCATGTCACTCCTGTGCCTAATGACAATAATCACAGCACCCAAGCAACTCTGGTTGCCAGGCATTGGGCCCTTTACGTGCCTCAACTCAGTTACATCCACAGCAGCCCTTAAAGGCCAGTTCTGCTGCTGTGCCCATAATACAGATGAGGAGACTGAGGGTCTTAGCGGTCAGGGCTCCAGCAACACTTCAGAGCTGGGGCAGAGCTGGGGTTCCCACCAGGCGGGCGTTTCCAGAGCCCTGAGGCAGCTCTCCAGTCTCAGGAGAAGACTTGAGGGGAGGGAGCGGAGAGCCGGATCATGGCTGAGTTAGGAAGAAGAGCCAACCCTCCAAGAGGCGCATCTTACAGCCTCTTTGGCTGCTCCTGCCTGTGCAGGATGAAGGTGGCCGCTGCGTCCAGTGGTGAGCCAAAAACACAGCAGGCTCGGGGAGGAGGCTCCCTGTCAGCAGCCCCGGGAACACAGGCTGCTCTCCCGCCTCCAGGCCTGAAGGCCGCCTGCACAGGGACCCAACTCAGGCTCCATGGCGCGAAGGCTCCCCATGCCCCCTGCAGGACTGTCCCCAGGGGTCTCTGTGTGGCACTGAGGGTCCCTGTGGGCACCCAATCCCCAGGGTAAAGGGACCCGGCTGTGGGTTAACAGTGCTCCACAGTGACAGCTCCCAAGGGACAGGTCCCCCCATGAGCAGCACCCCCGGTCACAGATGCAGGGGGAAGGACAGAGGAAACTCAGGCCACTTCCCCAGAGGACAGTTCATGGAGCACCTGTCTAGTGCACCCAAGACACCCTCCAGTGTGGCTGGGGGACACTCACACACTGTCAGTCCCCACAAGACAGCCCGACGGCAGGCCTCCAGCCTGAGCCCGAGTCCACTTTCCGAGCTCTTGGCGCCCGACGCACTGCCCAGGCTCGAGACCCCCACAGAGACGACCACAGGCCCCGCCGCGGCCATCTGAAGGCCACCCGCCCCCCCCCACCCGCTGCGGGCCGGCTCGAGGGCAGCTGCGCGCCCTCCTGGGACAGCTAAGTGCTACCGTGAGTGCAGGTGACCCACAGGCTCCCGCCCATGGCTCCCGGTGGCTCTGCGCAGGCAGCACCCGTCAGAACCGGCTCCCCTCCCCTCAGGTGGGCTGGGGGCTCCAGGGCTGGGGCTGGCAGGGGCCCTGAGGGAAACCTGGGCCCTTCAGTGCCCCGTGGGGGTGCGGGCAGGCCCGGCCCTCTTTCCTGCCCCGCTGCTCCCTGTAGCTGGACATACTGGTCACCGATGGCCCCGGGCCTGGGCTCCTGCCGCTTCCTGCGCCTGGTGTGCTCTGGCTGCCACTCAGCCCGCCAACGCCCATGCATCCTGGGGCCCCCAACTTCACTGACCCCAGAGGCCAGGCGGTGCCACCCTGTCCCCCTGGAGTCTCGCGCCTTTCACTCGCAGCCTTGCCCAGGTGGCCATCACCTACACGGCCACCACAAGTCCCACCACCAGACCGAAGGCAGGTGCCTGATCTGGGGACCTTACCTCCGAGACCCCAGCATCTAGCTGGGGTGTGGCCACAGGAGGTGCCCACTAAGGAAGGGGAGAGAGGACAGGGAACTGCCTTCGCAGGCCATCAAGCCTCCTTCCAGAAACACTGAGGGACGGTGACAGTAAGGGCACTCAGCCTGTCCTGGCTCCTGGGTGGTACTACCAAGCGCCATCCCTGGCCAGGGCAGCTTCTGGCACCTCAGCCCACACTGCACGCGGCCACTGCCTCTGTCCTCCTTAGAACTGGCGACCTGCGGCTGCGGTGAAGAGCTTAGCTCTGGAGACAGGCCCAGGCCAGCTTGCCAGCTGTGTGACTTCAGGCAAGGGCTCTGCCCTCTCTGAGCCTCGGTTTCCTTCACTGCCAAATGATGATGCCACTCACCACACCCACAGGCTGTGGTGGCCGCCGACACTCAGCGGGGTCAGGTAAAGACGGGCTGGAGGGCCCGGACCAGCTCTATAGGCAAAGAAGCAGTCGGGTAACCAGCAGTGACAGAGGACAGAGGCAGCCCACCACGCCCCAGGTGCTGGGCTGCTGGCCGGGTCACGTGTTCTCTGGGTCTCATTAACGTGTCTCTGAATAAAAAAGACAGGACCGGTCCTCATGGAGCTCACTGGTTCCGCAGGCAGCCAGGGGCTCTCAGTTACTGAAAGGTGGCCGTCCAGCAGGCTCACCTCAGAGGCCGCCCGAGCCACTGGCAGCTCATTGGAATTGGGGACAGTCAGGCCTGGGTGACAAGTGCAAGGTGTCCACTCCCTGCAAGGTCCAGCCACAGGCCTGGGCTGCTGAGCCCAATGCGCATCAGGCACACACAGAGCAGACAGACGCTCTTCAACGCTAGCTTGTCCCCTCTGCAGCGGGGCCCGGGGATGCTCAGCCTCAGCCTGCACGCAGATGGCCTCAGCTGACCAGACGGCCCCGGCTGAACCTGAACCTCCACTAAAACCATTATCAACCCGTGGAATTCCCATCGCTCAGCTGGAAACCCACATCCGCTGGAAAACCGCAGGTGACTCACCTCCCTCCTCCTCCTCCGACTCCTGAGGAGAAACCTCCTTCTTCCTACTGGAAGGGGGCGAGTTCTCCCCATGACAGACCCTGCTGCTCCCGAAAATTCAGGGTGCGAGGGGACACCCGCCTCGGGCACGGTGGAGACTCAGGGTCTCAGGGCCAGCCCTAGGCTCCCAGGTGCAAGGACACAGGACTTCAAAGGTACCCAAACGGGGGAGGAGAGGCCAAGAATGGCAAGGGCGGGGGACACAGGCGAGTGAGGTCACAGGTGGGAGGGATCAGCTCCTTGGAAAGTGGCATTGAGCAGAGGGCAGCATTGAGAAACGCGGGTGTCCAGATCCTGCCCCCAGCCAGCCCTCAGAAGGGGACAGGAAGAGAGTGCCCTGCTCTAGGAGTTGGACTCAGGGCCTCCATCAAACCCCATCCTCTTCTGCCTGTGTGTGTCCTTGACTCGGGGCCTCAGTTTTCCCGTCCGGCAAATGGGATTCTGCCAAGAGACATGGCAAATAGGGTCGCCAGACGGGACGTGAAGGACAGGCCACCCAGTTACGTTTGAATGTCAGATAAATAATGAAGGATATTTTAGTATAAATGTGTCCCAATACTGCATCTGACATTCCACAGTGACTGGGCGTCATGTATTTTGTCTGGCAGCCCTAGTTACGGAGAGCAGAGGGGAGGCGCTCCGGGAGCCGAGGCCAGGCGGGAGGGAGGGCTGGGCCTTAAGAATCTCTGCAGCCACGTACCTTACCACTCTGGGACCCGACCTCGCGGACGCTGTCACAATGACAAATAGGACACATGCCAGAGGCGCAGCCAGGTGTAATGAACCTCTCTTCTCGAAAGCTCTGGGGACCGGGATTCTCAGGAAGAGCAGACAGTGACCATCTTACCCCTGGAACAGCCTCTCTCAGGGACGGCGAGGATGACTTGGGCTCAGAGACAGGAAGACACTGAACGATGAGGGCTCTGTTGGGTGGACAGGCCCCCGAGGCGAGCGAGGGAGCCTCCAACCCCAGAGGTGTCCCAGGAGGACTTTAATGACCGCATGACAAGGGGCTCCAGAAGGGACTCCTTCGGGGCTTGGAAAGGGTTAGACTGCAACTTCCAGAGAATTCTCCCCCTCTCATGGCAGACAGGTCAGCCACCAGTGCCAAAGGAGGTGCCTGGCAAAGTCCTGCTGAGTGGCATCAGGGACAACACACGTGTGACTCACAGATGGACACTCCCAGTCCCCAGCCATGGCGGGCATCACTAGTCCACGGCAATGCTCTCCCCCACCAAGGTCCAACATGACTTCAAAACCTTCCTCCACTCAGTGATCCAGACAAGCACAGCATATGTACACACAGGCGTGTGTGTGTGTGTGTGTGTGTGTGTGTGTGTGTGTGAGACGTAATAACAACAGCTAAGCCGGGCACAGTGGCACACGCCTGTAATCCCAGGGGCTCGGGAGGCTGAGTCAGGAGGATCACAAGTTCAAAGCCAGCCTCAGCAACAGTGAGGCGCTAAGCAACTCAGTGAGACCCTGTCTCTAAATAAAATACCAAATAGGGCTGGGGATGCGGCTCAGGGGTTGAGTGCCCCTGAGTTCAATCCCCAGTACCAAAAAATTTATAAATAAAATAACAATAGCTATTATGACCACACTTCCCGAGTGCTTGCTGCGTACTGGGCACTCTATATGAATTGGCTGATTTAAAGCCCCACGACAATCCCCCAAGTTAAGCATTAATATTATCCCCATTTTACAGATAAAGAGGTGGAGGCACAGGGAAGCCAACGCACTTGCTGAGCATTTCGATTAATGGTGGGAGCCAGGACATGAACCCAGGAGGTCTGGCTCCAGGGACCGCCCTCTTGGCACCTGCAGTTCTGACATGATGACCTAATTCACAGGGGGGTCCCCGAAGCTCGGGAAGGGGACCCACAGTGAGGTCCACAGAGCCAGACAAGGCCAGGATTTCAACACGGGCTGGTCTGAGCTTGTGCCCCGGCCCCAGGCTCTGCTCCCACCCACCTGGACACGAGCAGGTTTGCATAGGGACCTCTGGGCCTTCTCCCCGGCACTGGCCAACCCCGAGCCAGGGGATGCCCCAGCCTCCCTGGGGCCTTGCTCACTCCCTCTGAGCAGCATTTCTTGGCACGTTGCTGCGTGGCAAAGCTGGCCCATCTGTTAAGCTAGGGGACAGTCTACCTGTCCCCCCCACATACCACCCGGACTCAAACTCCATAAGGAATGACCCAGAGGAGAGCAGATGGCTCAGACCCTGGGGGACACTCTGCAGGCACCTCCAGCTCTCGCCCCTCACTGGCCCAAGGCCGGGACAGGCCCTGCTGTGGGCTGATAGGCTGCTCCTCGAGGCCGCCCAGCCAGGCCCAGCCCTAGGCCCTTCCTGCTTCTGCAGACAGGCCCTTCAGTCCTGGGCATTTCAGGAGATGAGTGACTGATCATGGCCGCACCCTCTCACGAGTGACTATTGTTATTGATGAATAACAGTAACTGATACAACAGTATTTTCCACTAATTATTTACTGAGGGCCAGATCCCAGGCCAAGCAATATACTTGTGTCACCTTGGTTAATCCTCACAACCAAGAATCCCAGGGGATTCTACTTTCATCTGCATAGATGAGAAAACTAAGGCTCAGAGAGGGTGAGTGATTTGGCCTGAGTCACACAGCAAGGATTTGGCAGAGCCATGACTTGGTTTCAGAGTCCATGCTTTGAGAAGAAGGGCCCTAAAGATTCCCAACATGGTCCAGAGTCTCAGCAACTCTGCCAGCCACTTCCTGCCTCTGGACAGGAGACCCCTGTTGAACAGGCATGCTGTCACCTGTCCAGACCTCCTTGTAAAACAACCAACAAAGAGCAAGTATAACTCCACACTCATTTAACTAATGGAGAAGCAGGCTCAGAGAAGGTGGGAGACCCACCTGGGGTAACACAGCAAGACTTTCCTTCCTCAGACTCCTGTCCAGGCTGCCAGTCCTGATCCCCAGGCCTCTCCTCGGGGACACCTGCCGCTCCCCCACCCCCAGCCCCTAGGCTGCTGTGTACTTACAATGAGGCCGGGGACTCCTGGGGGCCCTGGCAGGCCCAGTTCTCCCTGCAAACACAGACACAAGGTGGTTACGCGTCCTGTCTCCCTCCAGGACCCCCACCCCGCCCCGTGTGGGCATCTGGGGGGACACTTCAGTGCTGACCACCCCCTGCTCCAGTCCCAGGCCCCAGGGCCTCTGGTGTGTGGCCTGGAGTTGGGACAGTGCCCTTCCTCCCTCGGCCATCAGTTTCCATCTGTAGGATGGGAGGGGGTCCCCCAGCCCTTGCATCCTCCAGTGTCGGTATGAAGAGGGCAGAGCCCCCGCCTGGGGGTGTGGACGGAGGGGCCGCTGCCCTCCCCAGAGGCACAGCCGGGCTTCCCGAGGTGAAGGGATCTGCTCAAGGTCAGGGCCCCCCAGTCCCAGGCCCTCAGGCCTCCCCTGTCCAGCCCAGAGAGGAGATGGGGTCTCGCACATGACTCACCCCCAGCCTCAGCCCCCCAGGTCTACCCAGGGCTCACACCAAAAAAGACAGGTGTGGGTGGGGCCCAAGTTCAAATGGGGAGTCGGAACCAAAGAGGAGGCCTGGGAAGGATCAGCGAGGGGCACTGCTGGGACCCGGGGGCTGTGCTCCCCTCTGCCAACCCCGGGCGGCCCCGACAGGGGAGGGGCACAGCTCCACTGGGAGGAAGCCGCAGCCTTGGCCTTGCAGCGGGGAAACCGGGGCAGAGCCGCAGGCCCCCATCAGGTCTGCCTCCGTTCTGCTCCTCTAGGCCCTGAGGAGGCACATCCCTGCCCCTCCCAGGGAAAGTTCTAGAAGGTTCTCTACTGACGTGCTCCAATGGTTACCCAGCAAGTGAACCGCTGAGGAAACGCCCTGATTTCCCTTCCCATGTCACCTGGCATGTCCCCTCCCCTCTCTCCTCACTGTCCCCAGGAGTCTTCCCAGCTCCCTGGGTCTTGTGCAATGGATGGGGAGGGGTCAGGACTTCTCTGTGGGCAGGGACCGCCCTGTGGCTACCTCGAGTCTGGTCGGCTGGACACCTTCCCTGCCCTCATTCTCTTCTCACGACAGCCCTCTGAGCCCTCCGACCCCCACCCCCAATTAACAGATGAGGAGACTGAGGTTCAGGGAGGTCAGGGTCAGTCCAGGCTCACAGGCCGGGCAGGCAGTGCAGCAGCATGCAAACCCAGATGCACCTGGCTCTGGGGCCAAGGCTCGACCCCCAGGGAGCAGGGAGCAGGGAGCAGGGCGGGCGAGCCTCCAGGGGAATCTGTGAGACCAGTGCAGGTCAGTTGTGAGCGGCTGCTCAGCGGGAAGCCCCCAGGAGACAGCGATCAAGGCGGGTGCTGCAGACAGCTCTGGCCCATCTGCACCCCCAGGCCAAGTCTGCACCCTCAGGCCAAGAATGCGAGCGTTCTCCCAGCTGGGCCTGCAGCCTGGGATGGAAGGCGTGGAGCAGACCCAGCTCCCCAGGGCAGGCTGACCTGGCTCCTCCACGGGACAGAGCCTGGGCCTCGGATTATTTACACTCTCTATAAACAGGCCGGCCGTGGAGATTCCTTCGGAACGTGGCTCATCTTTCCAAAGACGGCCTGCGACTCGTGTGCATCCCCAGGCCGCTGTGGCCGTAATCATTTCTGTTGCTTCTAAGGCGGCAGAAGCTGGGGCCTCTCTGGTGGGCAGTGACCCAGGAACCTCCCTAAGCCCTGGGGCTGCGTGCAACCCAGATGCCCAGCGGGCTGGGACTCTTCATGGGGTGTCACCCAGAGTAGAAAGGAGGACAGGCTCAGAGAAGTCGTGTAACTTGTCCAAGGACACCCAGGCAGCAGGTCATGGGGTGGGATGTAACCCAGGTCTCGGACCCCAAAGTCTGGGCTCCTGATCTCTTCTCTGTTCCCAAACACTTGAAGTACTTACGGGGTTTCCATCGAATCCAGGGGGGCCTCTCTCCCCAAAGTCTCCAGGGAAGCCCTGGGGGCAGGAGAGAGAAACATCTGTAGGTCAGTGTCTGGAGCTGCAGACGACTTGAGCCACACCCCAGGGGGACGCAGGGACAGTGTCTGAGCAGTCTCATTCCCTCGACCTGACAGCAGCGGATCCTGAGGTCACCCTGCCATCACAAACACCCCCACACAACACTCAGGGACAGGCCACTCTGGAGGGCCCGCCCGGTGACCTGCTTCTTTTCTACTTAGAGTCTCTGGGAAAAAAAAAAAAAGGTACAAGCACCAGCCCCCAGTCCGGGTCCTGGTCCCAATGACGTGGGAAGGACACAAACTGGGGACTCAGGGAGCCTATCCAGGCCTAGAGCAGCTGCTGGCTGGGACCTGACAGGGTCCTCTCCCGGGTTCCTCAGTGTCCCCACTGGTCACTCCCAGCTCAGATCTGTGATGACAATGCACCCTTCAAAAGTCACCCTGTGGCACCAGGGTCCCCATGGTACAGATCAGGAGAAGTTGTAAAGTTGTGGCAAGGCCACACAAGGTCACACTGCTGGTGTGGCACAGCCTGGGCCACTCAGAGGCCCTGAGGTCCCTCTCTGACCCCACCCTGGAGGCCACACCAGGCCCCTGGGGAGCCAGGCAGCTGGGAAAACAGCCGTGGGGACAGCTGTGTGCTGGGGGCCAGCATGTTCCTACTTCAAAAGGGAAGGAGCCCGGCCTGCTGCCGGCCCGCCACCCGGTTTTCCAGGGAGATTGAACGAAAAACAGAGCGCAGGTTTCCTGCCGAAGACCAAGGCCCCGAGGCGCAGAGAGGCTTGGAGGTGACCCGCCTCTGGTTCTAAACTGCGGGGGTCTGGAGGGAGACGGAGCCCCGGAGGTCAAGCGGGAGACCAAAGCCAAGCAGCCCAAGGCCTCTGGTGGCCACCCAGAGACGAGGCGTGGGCCCTGCGTGCACATCCCTCCCGGGTCAGGCTGACAGCCCCCCAGGAGGTCTGGCGTCAGACACAAAGGGGAGGGGACAAGGATGCAGGGAGGGCTTCAGGGCACAGCGGGACCTCAGGGTGGTTGTCCTGCGCCTGGAGGGAGGGGCTGCTGGCTCCATTCAGCAGTCGGGGAAGTCGAGGCTCAGCGAGGACATGTCGCGTGGCCACATCACATAGCCAAGGCCACAGGGCAGCAGTGTGTGCAGCAGAGCTGAGCCTGGGCTCCACCTCTCTGGACTCGGTGGCTCCTGGGACAGCCGGGGGGGGGGGGGGGGGGGGGGGGGGGGCACAGGCAGCAGCTGGGCACACCCCGCTGGCCTCGGAGGCGGGCGAGGGGGGGGTCTGCGCACAGGCCCATCTCTGGGGGCACATGTCGCTCCACCGAGCTTCCTCTCCCCAGATCCTCTCCCCAGATCCGTGGAGTCCCCACTGGAAAGTTCTAGCTCCCCCCAGATCAAGGACCTCACCAGGTGGACTGTGGCCAGGGGCGTTTCTGAAGGTTCCCGCCTCTGGGCTTCAGGGATTGCAGGGAGGGGCCTGGCAAGAGAGGAGGGCCAGCCCTCAGGGGACAGGGGCTGCTGTCCAGCTGGGCACCTGGCTGACCACTGGCCCTGGAGGCCTGGCCTGAGAAGTCCCTGTTCTGTTCTCTAACTCAGCATCTAGAGATGACCCTGGGTGTACCCTAGGCTGGCCGTGTGACCTGGGACAGGCCTCCCTGGACTTCCTGTCCTAAGGGTCCTCCCAGCTTGGGCAGAAGCTGGACAAGGCCAGGGAGGAGGGAGCCCCTTCCCCTAGGCACAGAAACCCCCCGTGGGGCGAGATGGAGAGGCGGCAGCAGCCCAAGCCCAACCCAGCTACAGAGGCCACTGGACCCTCTCCAGAAGCAGCAAGAGGGCCTCCACCCCGTGGGCCTCCACCCTGTGGGCCTCTACCCCGTGGGCCTCCACTCAGAAGCCCCAGCTGGTCCACGGACCCAGCCACCCGACCAGTCCTGCTCCTCCCCCCAGGGACCTCTCGCCTGCAGCCCAACGGGGAATACGGATGAGACATGCGGACAGCTGGCAGCTCACAGAAACATGCAGGCAGCCTTGGAAGCAGGAGCCAGGAGGGACTATCATCAGGATCCCAAGTCACAATGCAGCCTAAGGACAATAGCCAACTCCAGCAGCGTGACCTCCAAACAGACCCTTGATTGGTCCCATTTTACAGATGAGGAAACTGAAATCCAGAGAGGTTAAGACACTTGTCCGAAGTCACCCAGCTGTGGAATAGCAAGGCTGGGCTTTGAACCTAGGCAGACTGCCTGCTCTCTAAACGGCTGGACTAGAGCAAGCCTGGGGCCTCTCCAAGGGTCCATCACAGTCTTGGGCTCACACACTAGACGGAAGGGCCAACACTGAGGACCGCTTGCCCTTGGCACGCAGACCCACCTTGCCGCACCTTCAGTCTTCCTTGCTGTAAGGGACGCCCCCCAGGAGTCCAGTTTGTAATCACGCACAGCTGGGGAGAGGACGGCGCTTTACAGGTGCTGGGACAATCAAGTGCTCTGTACCTCTCTGGTACTGGGGCCTGAACCAGGGCCTGCCCACTGAGCCACAGCCCAGCCCCTTCTGTTGGGAGAGGGGCCTTGCCGCGTTGCTAAGGCTGGCTTGGAACTCGCAGCCCCCTCAGCTGCTGGGATCACAGGCCCAGGTGACATTTAGCACCTCACTGTCCCTGGGGAGACTGCGGCCTTGGCTCCCCTCGCCCCCGAGGGGCCTGGCCCGGCTCCAGGACTCACGGGGGCCTCTCATGTCGGCCTCTCAGAGAGCTGGCACCAGGCTGGACATGCGGCCCCACGCGCCCCACCTGCCCCTCCGGCTGTGCCTGCTGCAGCGAGGTGGCCATGGCTGCACCCCAGCCAGCTGGCAGCAGGTCCTTCCTCTGCGGGCCACGTCCTGGCTGCAGCGGGCTGGCCTGGGGCCAGGGAGTGAGCTTGGCTCCTGCCGCTGGGCCACGTGGTCCTCCCTCCCCAGGTCGGGCCCCTGTGGGAACCGAAGGCCTGGGCCTCTGAGCAGAGCCAGGCCCAGGGGGGCGGGACAGCAGGGCTGAGACGACTCAAGGAGGGGTCAGGACAGTGACGGTCTTCGTGACCACAACCCGAGCAGGACGCCAAAGCTGAGGGGACCTCGGAAGGCCATCTCAGCCATTCTCCTGCCTCCAGGCAGGGTCTATAGGACCATCTGCTCCACAGGAGGTGGCATGCAGGAGCACCCAGAATCAGAAGTCCTGCTAACGGCCCTGAGGCTCAGCTCCCGGGCCTGCAGAAGGGTCCACTCTGCCCGCACCCGGCAGGGAGGGCTGAGGAGAGGTGAGATGTTTATAATCCAGTCCCTGGTAAACTCTAGTGGGCCTCCACTAAGCTAGTTAGGGTTAATAGCAACAGCGGGGATAATAGATAACCCCTAGAGGAGCCCGAGACCTCCTCACAAAGTATAAGTCCTCCAAAATCTGGAAGTTCCTGCACAAGTCTAACCTGCATCCTTCCGACCTCACCTGACATAGCCCTTATTCTTTTCTAGAAGAGGCATGAACCCCAGGTGTGCTGACATGGGAAGACCCCATGAAGCCTCCCGGCGGTCATTCCTCACAATGCTGAGTGTGTTTTCACCCTGACCTTCTGAGGTCCACTAGGAAATGCTGCAGAGAAATGTCACCTGGGGAGGGAGGGGGAGAGGCGGCAGAGTTACCGCCAGGATCCAGAGTCATCAACGCTCTGACTCACGTGAGCCTCCAGCCCTTGGCACCCCCTGCTACGGCCCTTGCCCCCTGGAGGCCTCAGTGTCCCTAGAAACACGAGCTCTGTCTCTGGTCTCCCTGCTCCCCGCAGCCTGAGAGCACAGAGCGCTGGGCTCACAAGCCAAGACGCGGAGTTAGGAGCTGTGGGCTGCGAACAGCGGGCATCCCAGGCAGGTTCTGATGACCCCAGCCCAGCCCCAGCAAGCCGGGCCCGGCAGGAGCTGCCCTCTCAGCACAGCCAGCCTGCCACGCCTTACGTCTAGACCCTTCTCGAACCCCACAAACTCCCTTTCTAGCAGGAGATGGGAGGAGGGCGAGAGCTATAGACTCAGCTTTCCTTGGAGGTTAAAGACGGGAGGGGGCTGTGTGGAGAGCACCCTGCAGTAGTCAGCAGGGTCCTGGGTTCAACTCCTACCTCTGCCACCAACTTGCTGTGTGACCTTGGGCAAGTTCCTTTCCCTCTCTGCTCATCTGTCTGAAAAAGAGGTGGAGCCAGGCCATCATGGGGGCCCTGCAGCCCCCATGGGCCCCAACCTCCACTTCTTCTCAGCTCCCAGGGACAAAAGACTCTCACCCTCCCTCCCAATCAGAGGCCAAGGAGATGTGCACAGGGGCCGGAGGTCTGCCTGCAGCAAGAGACCAGAAACAGGCCACCTGGATGCCACCGAGGGAATTCAGCTCCTGCTGTTGCTTCTTAGCGGGGACTCAGGAAAAGCCATTCCCGGGAGGGGCTGGGCTGGGGGCCCCAGGGGCGGGCCTCAGGGCCGCCCAGGGAGTGCAGGCTGGGGACCGCAGGCCAGGGGCCCAGGACACGCACAGGGGGACGGCAGGTTGCTGGCCACGGTGGCGGGCCCAGAGTCAAGGGCATTTCCCGTTCTCAAGGCGCGGGCACAGCGGTGGGGCCCTCTCCTGACACCCCGCTCTGGGGCGCTCCCATCCCAGGTCAGGGCTGATCTGAGGGGTTAAAGTCAAGCAGCAGCAAAGACAGAGGAGCTGTCCACTGTGGGGTCAAGTCCGCGGCCTCAGAGGACCTCTGGACAGATGGCGTGGCCAGCGTGAGCCCCGGCTTCCTTTTCTGGGTAAGAGGGAGGATCCACCTCTTCTTAAAGGTTCTCAGGGGGAATCACACGGGTTCAGTACCGGGACGCCCAGGGCCTCGCGACCTGGCTTCCCTTCCCTTCTAGCTGCGAGGGCCAGCTCTGTTCCTTAGCCTGCGGACAGTCCCACCCTCAGAGTTGACGCTCTGTGACGAGTATGTGTCTGTCTGACCACAGTGCTGTCTGCAGCCTGGTATACAGTAGGTGCTCAATAAACACTTGCTGACTCAGAAATGAGCGAGTGGCCTCATCCGACCCAGACAGGTAGATGGATCGTCACCTCCACCATGAGCACCGCGTGGCTTGGGCACCAAGCAGGAAACGTGCCCATAGCGGGGGGGGGGGGGGGG